AGAGAGAGAGAGAGAGAGAGAGAGAGAATAAAAAGAAGAGGAGGAGGAAGAGGGAGATGGTAGAAAAAGAAGGGAGGAGAAGGGAAGCAGGGGCTGAGGAGAAGGAAGGGAAGGAAAAAAATGAGTGAGGACTGTGTCTGACTTAATTTAGAGCCTCTGTATTTATACTGGGACTTTAACTTCAGGTTTTGTTCAGTCTAAAGTCCATTTCTGATTAGTTTTACACCAAAATGATCTCTGAAGGGTAAGCCTTAGACTTTACTTAAAAGACAGAGCTTTGGCAGTGCTCCTGGTTTTAAAAGTTCCTCTGTTTTAAGAGCAGTTCCAAAGACTCAATTGAGTTACTAACTGATGCTCTTTTAGCGAAAGACTTCACCTTCCAAATTCATTTCGTATATAATTCACATTTTTATGGGCAATTTGGTTTTGAAGTTTGGAATTTGCTGTCCATTTCTACCTAACAGTTTGCTTCTCAGTCCATGAAAATCTTGTTTTCTGTAAGTTTGCTTATGCACATATAGAGCAGAAAGAAAAACAGCTCTATCATTCTTTCCTATGAAAGGTTGCACCACCACCTCCACACTTTGTCAAGGAATATAAAAGAAGAGAGATGGCCAAGCATGCTCCTTAATCATCATGCGCCTTTTCACCCCAGATAGTACTTTCCTTATTAAAGGATTAGTAAGGAGAGGTGGGGGGAAAGCAGAGAAACACTTCCTAAAACTGCACATCAATGAAAACAAGTGCAGCGTGGTGAATTGATGAAAAATCACCAGGGATGCCGCTAATGAGAGGCATTCCAAGCTAAATAAAATAGTGTGTCTCTTTGTTTTGGGATAAGGGCTAGGGGAAACATGAATATTAAAAATTAATTCTATCTTGCCAGTCCACTCCTGGACTGCTGTGGGCATGACAAGTTTGAGCAGCTCACAGAGAGTTTATAAGGCAGCTGGGTGGCTGTGGCTTTATCATTCTAATCCACTGCTACCCCTCCAGATCTTGCTGACCTCACTAGGGCTCAGGGATCAGCATGTGGGAAGCCTGATTTAGAAGTTCATTAATTTTTCACTGTCATGTATCTTGCCTGGTGGGTGAGTAGGGGCCTGTTTCTCTAAGAAATGTACCATTCTGTACTGCGTCAGTTCAAGGAGAATCATAAGTGAAATTCTCTTTGTGACTTAACCCTGAGCATGCTCCATCACTCTGAAGGCTTGGGAAGAGGCAATAAAGGAGTTGCTATTGTGCCCACAAACTTCTGGTGGAAGGATTACAGACAGTGGTGAATCTTATATTTCAAATTGGAAATCAAGAAGCATGCTTCTTTACTCGGCTTCAACTCTGTCGTTCCATTTTCCTCCTTTTCTAACTTGTTCAAGATGGGTCAAGAACCTCCCTCCCTGTGCTCCCATGGTAAAGTTCCAATTGAAATGATGTCAGCATGATGGCTATCCTAGTGGAGATGGACTATTTGGCAGGTGTGCGTGCATTTTTATCTTTTGGTGGGATCAGAGCAACTACCCAATCTATAAAGTCATGGCATTCTGATCTTGACCCCCCCGGCTGTACCTATTTTCTGTGAACTATTTTCTAATCTTTTCCTTTAGTGAATGAGTAAATAACCTTGATGCCACACTGTATAGCTATGTGGATCAATATGAAAACCCACATTCCACAGGTGCCATCAACTTTGTTGAAATGTCTCTAGATTCTCAATGTCTGTTTAGGGTTGTTGATTAACAAATTATTCTCTGGAGACATTCCCCCGGAGGAGGTCGGCTCCTATGGTGTTAGACACAGATCAAACAGAACTATTTGCTTTAGTTTGTCTTACAAATGGGAAGCCCTGCAGGCAGTGTGGAACAGAGGCAGTCTAGAGGCCCAGAGAAGGTGGGGTGGCTAAGCCTCTTTCTGAGTGGGGGATGCGTTTATGAATCAAACCTTGATCTGGTCAGTTCAACCACCCTCCCTGCCTAATCTCCTTAAACACTTATTATTTCTTTGTGTTGGGAAACTTTGAACTCTTCTCTCAATTTTTATATTAAAATCTATAATGAACTGCCGTGAACTGTAATAATCCTACTTGTGCTATGGAACACAAGTACTTATTTCTGTCTAACTGTTTTGGTATGTGTTAATCTGACCTCCCTCTAACTCCTGTCTCTTCTACCATTCTTGGCCTCTAGTTGGTCAGTTCCTCCTTTTGCGTTTCCATTTCTTCATATTGGCTCTGGTATAATTTTCTAAGAGAGTGGTAACTAGTCTTATGCTAAACCAGATGCCTATAGGTGAATTAGAATCCCTCAAATAGTCCCAGCCCATCTTTCCTTCCCAGATTGGGCTACTCTATTCATTTACAAAAATTCAAATGTCTTCTACATACCAGGCTCTTGATTCTTCTTTATGGAACTTGTGGTTAACTTGCTGTATTTTAAGTGGGAGGCATTATAATTTTATCTTGAGGACTAGGATCAGGCTTTGGCAGGCTCACACCTCTCATCTTGTTACCATTTTCCTTTTTCTTGAACAAAAGTGTTGCCCTCCATTTCTTGAATCTTTTGAATCAATTTCCTTCCAACAGTCACATTCTAATTCTTCACTAAGTACCCTTTTCATGTGTACATCCAACTACTCATTTTTCATAGCTTGCTGATTCCCACCAAAATGCTGACTGATAAAAATTTAAAACACAGTCTGAAATGCAATTGAAACATTGACACCTTGGATGATGACTTAGGTACTTTTCTTTCTGGTAAAATGTGTTCCTGGGTATGGCAGGTGGGCAGGTATAAACAGGCTTGTCAAGATTTCAACAATATGGTGCGAGACAGAGAACTGCATAACATTGATCAAATTCCCTTTACTTCATATGTAAAAGAAATGTAATAATATCTGTCACTTTTGCTTCACAGAAATATGAAGATAAAAGTAGGCAAGAAGGTGGTTTGAGAAAACATATCAATTTGCTGTGTTAGACTAATGTTTTAGGAAGAATGGCTAGTGCCACTTTGTTCATGGATGTTCTAATGGAATGCTTTCTTGTGACCATATTTTCTAAACAGTTTTCTAAGGCACAGACACCCATTATTTACCAAGTTAACCCACCAAGTGGAGTTCCAGGTAAGAAATCTTCTGTCAAACTGAAATAAACAAAGCTTGTTGGAAACTCTTCTGTCTAGGTGGGTGGTCTCAACAAATGGGACAGTTTAGCTTCTTTGCTTATGTTGTTTTGAGGACAAGTGTCAGACTCTGGTTCATTTTTAACCTAGTTTGGTTCCACCTTTAGGCACTTTTGTTCTATTGCTTCACTTAAAAGAAATCCAAACACAATAAGAGAAAAATCCGAGCAAAATCAAACCAGTTAGTGCCAGAGAATGGAGGAAATAGAAGTCATCATCACTCTTAACTTTATAATCATTCACATAATAACAAACTTTTATTAAAACCCCACCGTGTGCAAGGTTTCATTCTAAGCTCTTCATGTATATCATCTTATTAGGTTTTCATAGAGTTATTATTTTCATCTTGACAAACTGAGATTTGAACCCAGAAAGGCCCAGATTTGTACATTTTGCTTTGTGTTTAGTTATGTAAATCATTTTGGAAGGCCATTAGCTCTGATCTTTAAATGATTTTTTTGTGTGTGAGTTAGAGAACACACAGATATATAAAGGGCAGTAGAGTTGAAGAGAAGAAGATTATGCACAGTTGTGGGATTTAAATAAAAGAGAAAGGATTGCTACTGATGGATTCTGGAATTGTAAAATCAGCATTAAAACAAAGTAGTAAACACAGCTACGATTGCAATTTGTAGTCTTATTCTTTGCAAAGTCCTACCTCTAAAATTTGGGATTTTCATTTGGTTAGAGTTTCTGGAGTAATCGAAATGTGGGTTGTGTATAAATGCATAAACTGATCTAATTGTTTTGATTGGCTTGATTAATTGTGAATGCCAGAATAAATATCTAAGTTATTGAAAATACTTGTTTTGTTTGAACATATGTATAGACACAGAGTTTATATATATATATATATATATATATATATATGCATTAATCATAGTCTGAAGAAATGAAATTAGCATTATTTTACTCATGTGGATTTTTCACAGATCTGTTTCTTTCCATTAGAAGTTAAAATGTTTTATTAAAATTAAAATTACATGCACATATTTGGGTCCCTACTGCGTGAGTGTTAGGAAGCTCTTATCTAGATAGAATAAGTCTTGTTAGGGTGAGGGACGAGGAGGGAGCCAGCCTTTAGAGATGTGAAATGGGATGTCAGTTGGTACCCAGATCTGTCAAGAGTGTTTCCCACTGAGCAGGAGTTCTGCACACTGTGTCTTCCACCTTCTGAGGGGCCAACTGGTGGCTGGCCTGGCTGGAACGGTCCCTCGAGGCGTGAACTACACTGCTGTGTCTATGCAATCTCTTTCCAGATGATTACTCTCATTTCATGTGGGAAGCCTGCCTAGGGTAGCAGCCAGAGAGATGGGGGAGGAGGTGGGGATAGGAAAGAGAACGCTTTATGTGCAGTTGTAGCTCTGTCTGTGGTTAACAGTCCTTCACTGTGGTGCAGATTCCCCTGGCAATGCACTGTGAATTGGTTTAGCCCTTCATCAGTCTGGATGGAGCTTATTTGTTTAGAAACAAAACAAAAACTCACAGGATTTCCTAGTTCCCAAAACCTGTTATTTGTTTTTTAAATTGTGCTTATTGAAATGAGAAGTCTGGCCCACTGACACTAGAAAATCAATCATTTAGCTCTATTAATTAGAGAAAATGATTCTGTCAAAATTTAGCAGACGCAGAAAATTCTTGGGATGCCAGACTTTCATGAACTCTATGATCTTTGTCTAGATTATTAGGTTCCCACTGTTTCTACCTATCTACCCTTAAAATGGCTATAATATCACTTGAAAGGTTCCCTTTATTTCAGTGCAAGTCATCCAGTATAAGTCATTTCCTAACACACAAACACAGTATGAAAACATCTTGATACTGTTCTTTGATGGTGTTAAGTGTTCATGAAGAAACTCAAAAGTCTTGTGGATTCAGTGACCACATGAACCCCATAGAGACCCATTTCTATTCTACTTTTTGAGGTTTTGTATCACTAAGTAATACCTCTTTCATCTCTAAACATTTTCTGTGATTATAGAATATTGGAGTATAGATGCCTAAATCCCCTATTTACACAGCTCATCATGTGAATTTTAACTATTATCATCTTGCTATAATGTGTTTGTCTAAAATTTTGTCTTGTGCAGTTGCTTAGGACTGAGTGCAGCTATATTTCAAATTGGAATAAATCAGCTCCTGTGGTATCTGATAGGGGCTTACAAACCTTTTTTGAGAAGGAGCTACATTAGATAGTTTTCCCTGGTCCTACAAGGAGTATGAGAGTGTGTCTTGCTGAGGGGTTTGCTGAAGCCTGTACTCCCATGCTTGTAGACTCAAAAGAGAGCAGATTAAGGAGTGGTGGAAAACCCAGTGGAAAACCCAGAAGTTGCATAGAGACCTGGGATAGAAGCCATCATCCCTATATCAGTGGGTCAGGCAAATATAACTGTCTCCAGACACCCAGTTTGCCCTCCCCCTTTTAAGACAGTGTCTTGCTATGATGCCCAGCCTGACCTCAAACTCTTGGAATCAAGCAATTCTCCTGCCTCAGTGGAAGAGCCAGGACCATAGAAACATGCATCTATGTCTGGCACATCCTATCTTTGGACACAAACATATTTGTTGGATGAATGAGATGTACCAATTGTCCATCCTCTATTCCTTAATGTGTGCTATTTTGTACCCTTCTTTAGTTCCTGTCCATTTGGGTTATCCATATTATTTATCTTTTGTACTTTGAGATATGGAAAATAGTTTAGAATCTCTGAAGACCCATCAGATTATGTAATATGACCTTCTTTATATTGCTTTTTATTTTATTTATTATTTTAATTTACACATAAACTTGTACATATTTATCAGGTACCAATTGCTGTTTCAAATCATGTATAGATTGTATAATGCTCAAATCAAGGTAAGCATATCTATCTCCTCAAATATTTATCATGAAGACATTTAAAATTCTTCTAGCTTTTAATAAAATCCAGTACATTATCCTTATCTACATTCACCCTATTATGTGATGGAACACCAGAATTTATTTTTCCTACCTATCAGTAATTGGTCCGTGACGGCCAACATTTTTTCATCCCTTATTCTTCCCAGTCTCTGTTAACCACTATTCTATTCTCAGCTTCTACAAAATCATCTTATCTAGGTTTCACATGAGTGAGATCATGTGGTGCCATTTGTTTCTGTTAGCAAGTATCCAGAGGAAAGTCTCATGAAGCTGAACCACTCCAAGGCAAATTGTTTTTAAGTCCCACTTTGGGTAGGTGATCCAGTCAGAGTAGACAGGGTAGTGTGCAGAAATCAGCCATCCTTCCTGAAATCTTCCCACTCAGTGGAACTGGGAAGAAGACCTTTTATTCCTTTCATGCTTCATGCATAAATAATTGAATCTGTGTTTGAAATAATTTCCGCCTTTCTAGAGTCTCATAATGATCACTGGATCATATTATTGCCTCTAATATCATATAGTTTATAAAAAGTGTGTTTTATGCACCAGCTTTGCCATATTGAGTATATATAACCACAAATAAACAATTTTGTCATACATTTGGAATTGGAGCTAATTTTTTTTTTTTTTTTTTTAGGGAACAAACTCAGGACTTTGCTCTTGAGAGTCAGGTGGTGGCACCACTGAGCTAAATCCCTGGCTCCTGAGCTAAAATGTTTACACTGAAATTTAAAAAACCCTTCTTAAAACAGGAAAATTAATACATGTGTATGGATGGATTATCACTGGAAGGCTGGAAACCTTTGATGTTGATGCTGAGTACATTGATAGGTAAGCATGTGTTTGTTTCTGTGTTCAACAAGTTACATGTGTGCTGGATGACTTCCCGGGGCCAGCCTCCATGAAGTAATACATTTTAAGCTGCTGGCACTGAATTGCTGTTTTTCTCTTTGCAGTTTGTGTTCCCTGGTGAGCTGGGCTTCAGCTTTTATTTTGTTAATGTAATTGCATCTGGATGATTAAGCTGGTCCATTTATTTACTGACAACTAGTCACTCTAGGCTCTGTATGAATTGTACAGCAAATTGCATCTGTAGATTTTTCCTTTCTGATTCTACCTTTCTTCCCCTTGTCTCTCAGGCTAAAATAAATTCTTTGTAAAATGATATACAGACCTCAAAGCCCATTAAAACTTTCTTGTCTAGTTGTTGTCTATTTGTGCATTTAGAAATTATTAATGGGATCAGAAGAAAACATGGGTTCAGTTACTAAGAACCATTGAGCTTTTAGTGTTTTCTGGGAGTGGATAAAACGTCAATACAATTCTCTTCATTGGAGTCTTGTTATGCAGAAAATGTTACTATTAAATCATCCATGACAGGGAGACAGGAGAATGAGATGGAATACACCGAAATTGTGGAGTTTATGGGACAGTAAGGATACTGTCATCTTTCAGCAAATAAACTAATCACAGTAAGGATCTGTAAGGTAGAAGCAAAATGTCACTATTCACAAATAGAAGCTTCACATTGTGCCTGATTAGTCCTTCACCCCTGCATGGATGTTTTGAGTCATTCTCCTCTGTTCTCCTTCTCTTTGATTCTGACCTGCATTTCTAGAATTAATAATGGTCATTTTTTCTCCTAGGGAAATTACTCTTCCTGTTGGGGTTGGGGATAGAAATCCTAAGTACATCCTTGACAACATGCTAATTCACTGTTCGGTTCCATCTTAGCCTTGGCCAGTGATCTAGCCTTATGGTGGGTGGGATAAGGCATAAATTCCACAGTTCCTCTGTGGGGATCCAATATAGTCAATACGATGATGAAGAATACTTTTTTTGGGAGGGAGAGCAAATGCTCCCTTCACAGTGAGAATGCAGTATGGGCTGAGTGCACCCTTTCTCTTTGCCTGAGAATTTGATTTAGTGTCCTTTAAGGGTGTGACATTCAGTCCCCCTGGAATTGTGCCCCATAAATCCAGAGGAGAATGTTCACAGATATATTTCCTCTGATCTTTGGCATGAATATTTACTGAGAGCATTACATGATTGTCTCCTATTTTTTTCTTTCCTTTTTTATCCAGCCCATTGGTCTTGGAGGCTCAAGGAGAAAAATGGGTCACTCCTTGTTCTCTTATAAACAGGCAGACCGGAAGCCAGTGAGTGTGTATCTTTTCTTGCCAATGTATATGCTTTAGGTTCTTTCACATGAACACACACACACACACTTTTTGAAAATGTAAATCACTCACAACTACCTTATCTTCAGATTTAGTGGAAAAGATGCAAAAATTGATTCACAGTATAAGACGAAGTAGAATGTGGAAGTGGCATCTTTCTTGAAAACAAATCACTAATATTTATTAAGGACTTTAGGCCAAGGCTTTCTCTGATGCTTTATGTTTAGGCCACTCAATAACTTTGTGAATATGTATGGTTATTAGACTCTCTTTACAGATGAGGAAACTGAGGCACACCGAGGTTCAAGTTCCCATAGAGAGGACATCACATTGCTGGGACTGGAACCCTGTCTGACTAACCAACCTTTAGATGCTCTTAACTACTATATTACATAGACTAGCCAAAGAAAAAAGTGACTATTTTTTTAAAATTAGTGTCTAAATGCTCCAGTTCATATAACCAACATTTTGCTGGGTTTTTACCTCATTCTGACCTAGGTGGATTAATCTTGCTTTTAGGGCATTACAAGAATTACATTCTATGACTTAGCTTTTTGAGACTAACATTAAATAGAGCCAGATTCTTTCCTGGTACATTTAATTTGTTTGCTCAGGATTATCCTTTTGGGGTTCATACATTTTTTTTATAAGGAGTTTGCTATTCTTGTCATATCATAGATTTTGGAAAGAGTGTACCAAATGGCAGTTAGGAGTGAGTTACATTTTGTCTCTCACACAGTGTGTTTGACTGGTACATATAGATTGATAACTCTTGTTAGTATTACCTCTCCAAATTTGCCTCGATGAACTAAATTTACCTTTAATACATACAAATTTTCTCTGGCTAATTCACCTCTTCTTTTATGTATTTCTTTCCTGGTTAAAGAGTCAGAGCTTATGAGCTGAGTTGTTTGGTAATTCTTATTTATGTTTGCTTTCTCCTTAGCTACCCTCTTCAGGAAGACCATGGTCTTGGGACTCTGACGTGCCGTGTGGAAGGCAATTACATAGGTCTGGTAGAGAAGAAATATAATTTTAAAGCTTTATTCATTTCTTTCTATGTGTCCAGAAAAAATGAACAATTTTAAGAATTACTTATCAAGAGAATAATAATAATGATGATAAGGATTTGTTGAGAAAACTAAACAGCACAGTACATAGCAGATTCTATATAAAGTAATCCAATCACCACAATAACTTATGAGATTGGTGGAACTATTTTCATTTTATAGGTGAGAAAGTTTGATCTGGTAGCCAGTGAATTAGGGTTTAAATCATGCTCAGTTTAAATCTATGCCTGGGCCCTTATGTGCTATGAAATACTGCGTTTGGTCTCCTGATGTTGACAGTCCACACTGTCAATGGTGCTAAGCCTGTGAGGTGATTCTTTTGGGCTGGAAGAAATAAGAAATTTAGGTGACAACGTGATGGCATTGGGGTCTTTGGGTGTGTGATAGCAGCAGCCTGGCCCAGGAGAGTCATGCAGATTTCTGTATTAATGTCTGCTTCTTTGTGTTTCAGGCTCCCAGAATATTAGCTTCTCAGTATTTAACAAAGGAAAGTAAGTACCTAGGAGTAGGCAAATTTCCCTTCATCTTATACTTCTCTCACCTTGATTTTTTTAACCTTTTAAAATAGATAATCCAGACATACGCTGATGTATTTTCTTGACTTCAGTGAACATAATTGTGTCCTGTGTCTCACTTGTAGGTACTGCAAATTGTTCAGTGTGGTGATGGTATAGAATTTTGGAAATTATTTCCTAAGTAAGCTCAAAGTTGTGTGAACAATTATTTCATGGAATGCATTAAAACATTCCAGGAAGTGCCTTCTTCAGCATGGAAAGGGCCTGAATTTCATCGAGCTTTGAGAGATAAATTAGGATTTTGAATTTTTATGTGCTTTTTCTCAATATTCCTTCACTGTATAGCTTGCTAGGTATAGTGTACTTGAAAGTGTATTACCTAACGATGCTAGTTTCATAGTGATGATAGGGACACTTTATGTATAGCTGCACAGCCCTAAGTGTGGAATTTTTTCTTTTCTCCTTCTCAGGAATAAAACTAATGTCTAATGTCTACTGCAGGCCATTTTAATACAAGGCCTTTTCATTCATCATTCCATTTAATGCTATGCTACCCTATGAAGTAGCGATTTTTCCCAAACAATAATTTTATATATTAGAAAACACACTCTGTCCCATTGTTATCATTCAGTGGTTACTGGAAGCTGCTGGTATCCAAATAGTTCTGAAGGTCACTAGAGGTTAGTTCATGATCCTCTTTTCCAACTGACAACTTAAAAGTGCAATCGCACATGATGCTGTATCACAAATCACGACTTTATCTGTTTTGAAGGTCAATGGTAAACAAAAGTGCATGGCTCATCAGTGCGAAACAGGACCTTTTCCTGTACCAGACACACTCAGGTACTGTTTCCCTTCATTCTGGACATTGTGTCCCTGCCCTTGCTCCTCACTCAGCACTGGACTCTTCTTTCTCCTGGCAGTTTACCTATGGACATTAACATTTGAAGCCACCCCTGCCATCATGGATGGCCCCGTGGTTTCAGTTGAGGTTAAGGTGCTATCAGTTCAGCTTTAGTTCCTACAGTCACGTATTAATTATTAATGTTCTGAGAGGTGAATCATTAAAGTGACTTCATCATTGTGAGACTATCACAGAGTGCAAACTAGTTGTACAAACTAGTATGGTCCAGATCCATCACTTCACATGACTTCTTAATATAATCTAGACACAAGGCAAATGAGTGATCTATGAGACCGCTACTAGTGGAACACTGCATACTGTTTTTAAATTTGTTTATATCTTTGTGATACTGGGTATCAAACACTGAGTTACATCCCCAACATATTTATTAATTTAGCAACAACGTGTAGCTTACTGAGTTGCCTTGACTGAGCTCAATCTTGTGATCTTCTTGCTTCAGCCTCCCTAACTCTGGGATTACAGGAGTGAAACACTGCCTCCACTTAATTTTACAGTAAACCTTTTATTTTATAAATTGTTACTGTATCAGTCTTTACTGTGAACTTGATTGGCTTCAGAATTGCCCAAGGGATCAGTAGCACTGCTTTGGGTGTGTCTGCGTGGGCCATGGAGTCATGACCTTGGATTCTGTATTTGGTCTCTGGCCCCTAAATCTCTGGCTCTGTTCCCTTGCTCTGCTTCCCTGCTACTATAAACTAAGCAGCTCTGCTTTGCCACACCCTTTTACCATATTTGTATCTTAGAGCCAGCCAATCCAAGACTGAATCCTCTGAAACTGAGCCAAACGAACCTCTCCTCCTTTAAATTGTATCTGGTATTATGTCCTACCAATAGGAAGGTAACACATAAATAGAAGAATTGCACTCTGAGATAATGCTGAAAAGTATGGTATAGCAAATACATGAACCAGTAACACAGTAGTTGTTTATTATTATCAAATATTAGGTATTGTACATAATTACATGTGCTATATTTTTACATGAATGGACCTGTAGTAGGTTTGTTTACACCAGCCTACCACAGACATGTGAACAATGTAATATGCTTTTGTGTTATCTTCAGAACAGCCACAACCTGAGTAGCCAATAAGTAGTTTTCAGCTTCATTATGATTTTATTTGACCACTGTTATTGATTTATACATTGTTTAGTGCTGCATGACTATATGTTAAAGGAAGCATGCTCATAGACTTCTACACAAGGTCTAGGGATACAGATTGAATGAAAGGGGAGTCACACCTTGTTTTTTGTTTACAAACAAACAAAAAAATCAGAAAAGAGGTAGCACTCATAAATCTAAAGTACATCTTTCTAGTTACTCTAGCGCTCCATCTCTGAGCATTATTCAATAAGTTTTGACTTGTGGATACTAATGCTAAGCTATTTTGTTGACACCTTATGAGGAAACACATATTTAAAAAGGAGTGCTGAAAGTTCGAAACAAAACTGCGAACTCAGTTCAGAAGTAGAAAGTTGGCTACTAAAGACTATCTAGATTCTAGATTTCAATGCAATCATCATGGAGGCATGTCAATGAGGTATGCTTAGATTTCCAGAAGCAATCAAAATCTAGCTGTGCTGAAAATGCAAGATATTTCATACATCACGGAAAATGACATTTACTCTAGATAGCCTTCCTGAATGTTGACCCTTGCCCTTCTTTACATTCAGCAATACAGCTAAAGTGTTTGAGGGTAAGTTAGAAGAAGCATCTGAGGTGTTGGTGATAGTGACAGCAGAGTAAGAATGACAAGTCCTTGTTGAGTGTATTACATAGGACCTCATTACTGTATTTAACTATGAGATAGGTAATATTAGCCACATTTTACAGGTGAGAAAACAAACTGAGAGAGACAAAGTAGCTTGTTCTAAGCCCCTAGTGCCAGAAAGCAAAGGCCTACTTCCAAATCTTACTGATATGGCTAGCACAATCTGGAAAAGACATTCTCCTTTCCAGCCTACTCTGAGCTTCTCTGTGATTCTGTCATTACTGTGGACTGCTGGATAGGCTGATAGTATCTCTTACCACACAGTATTTTGTATATTTCTAGAGTCAGTATCTCTTGGGATGAGGACTCACAGGCTAGAACTTTTCTATAGCAGAGGAAGTACTGGGGAGAGCGGCCATGGGAGCCCCCAAAAGCCTGGGCTGAGCTCCTTGAGGGCTGGCATTCAATCCTTAGTCCAGGGTAGCTAAGCCATATAGCCTTTCTGATCCTCAGTTAAACATTTATAAAATGGCCAATTGGCCAATATGGTGTTTGTCTTTCTAGCTCCAAAAATTGTCTAAATAAGTTGGTGAGCAACCTTGGAATTCATCTAAAATTTGCCTCTCCCTCTCATTATTTCCTTATGCATCAACAACTAGTCTCCCCCAGTTTCATCTCCCACACGTTTTCAAATTTCGGCTTATCAGTACACGTGGGTAGCACACAGTGTTCACATTCCTCGTGTGGAGTTGGTACACGTGCATAACACAGTTTACTTCTTCTTTTTTTCATCCCCTTCCCCTTCTCTACCAATCCTTTGGTCCCCTTTCTTTTCTTTTTTCTGTATAAAAATGCATAGCATGTTGCAGTGGTTTATAAGTGGCCTCTGACTGTCAGTGTGTCCCCTGCTGATCTATGCTTTCAAGCACTCATCTGATGCTCTGTCTTCTCAGGGGCACTTCCCATCCCCTACAAGAAAGGACCTCAGCTTCTGCCTCCTCCTCGTCTGCTGCTCGGCTCTGTATTTCTCTGTGTATATTCCAGCAACACAGCATACTCTGCACTTCCTTCTGTCCATGTTCAGCTTACCCTTGCATTAAAGGTCCTCTCTCTTCCCTCCACTTGGTCAGTTCTAATTCAGTTCAGATGCTGCCTCTGGAAAATTTCTTGTACTCCTCCCCACTCCCAAACTTCTCTGTACTTCATGCATTCGCTCAAATTTTGTTAACCTAAAGCATTAGAATAATACTCTTGCATACCTGCCCTTCCTTACCATACTGATCTTGAAGACAGGAACTATTTTGTATTCATCTTTTTAATAGGTGTTTTGTGAATGAAGAAAAGTATTATATTACAATTCTTTTGAAAGTTGAAGAACTTCCTAAACTGTTTTAGTCTATGATCTGTGTAATTTTGAATGGATAGCGAAAGAATGTGTTAGTCAGGCATGGTTGTGTGTGTCTGTAGTCCCAACTACCCTGGAGGCTGAAACAGGGGAGTCACAAGTTCTAGATCAGCCTGTGCTTACAAGTATACAGAGATGTCACCTAAAAAAGAAAAAAGAGAAATGTATTAATCTTTACATAAGTTAATGCAGAAACTTCCAATGTCAGTATAAGAAAGTGATAAAAGTCAGTTAAAAGGAGATTGTTATTATTGGTGGTAAATTTTGATACTTGAGTCTAGGACATCAGCCCTTGCTCCCATATATACTAATTTGTCTTAGAGGCAAAAATCACTGGAAAGTATCTCCATAAAATTCATTTTTGAAGTGCTAGTCAACCACGAATAGCCTTTTCCTTCAGGTTGCCTTCAGTTTATCTGAGGACCTAACTCCTCTTGTCCCTAGGGGGAGTAGCTCTTCAAACTGTCAAAAGTCTGATCATGGGAGAGGAAAGGATGGGAGAGAGTGAAAGTCTTAGGGATATGTGGCGTGTTGCTGACCAGACTGTGATAACACTGCAGCCCAGGTCTGCAATACCACTCTAGAGGATTCCAACAACCGAGAACAGCAGGGAGGAGCGGCATAGGAAGTGAGACGGCGTGAGGCCTGTGACATGGGGTGGGCTGGGAGAGCGCTGGAAACTGGGAAAGGCTTTCCTTTGCTTAGAGCAAATTGCATGTTCCTATCAGTGCACTGAAGCCTGGCCCAGAGTGTCCAAAGCTGATTCCTCCACATGGTGTAGCATCCTCTTTGCCGCTATATAAATAAAGTCTTTGTGCTCAAGACATAGATTTCCCAAGGAAGCAGTATGGCCTGTAGGGGCTTTTACTCAGACAGTGAGTGACTCTATGTGTCCCCCTTTTTTTTTTCAAATACTGATTCTATCTATATATTATCTTTTTCTTATTATGTATCCTTTTAAGATAACTATTACTAGAAAAAAGTTTCAAATGTTGCTGGATTTAGAAAGTTAAAGTAAGAAATAAATTATAATAGCTTCTATTATTACCTTATTATCTGGGTCATATGCTGATCTATATTTGGAAGCTAATTTTTTTTAAAAAAAAATTCTTGCAGAAATACTATCTGTGTTTCCAGAAAGTGGGAGCCTTGGAGGAAGAACAGACATCACAATTACAGGAGACTTCTTTGACAATTCTGCTCAGGTTACCATTGCAGGTAGCTGTTGAAATGACTGGAAATAGTTCATGATCTTAAATGCTTTAGGTCCTTTTACATCTCTTATGCCTGGAGGATGTGAGGGGAAGCATTTATTCCTTTCCATTATATCATGTCACTAAGATCTTTACCTGTTTGTTTGAGGCCAGGTGGGATTTTGTGCCTGTCACACTGCAAGTGTGTTACAGGGACAAGATATCCTGCAGACATGTTCACAATGCAATTTCCTCTTCTTGGGGGTGAAGGAAAAGCCTCTTTACAAAGGTCTTCTTCTACTAAAAAGCAACCCCTTTCCATATGTTCTCTCCTTAGCTGGAATGTGTGGGTATTTTCTCTACAAATTTCTCTGAAATGCCCCCAGGCAAGGTTTTATAGTACCTGTCTAGATCCTTTTCTTCCTGCCAGATGGGATGCTCCCCTAGTTGGTGTCACCCAGTGTGCAGGCATGTGTCCTAACACTCATGTCACATTCACCCTGGTCAGCTGAGTAGTTCAGCACAACCCTAGTGAATCTGACTACCATAACTTGCCCTATGTGTGCTCTCTACTCTCCCTTTCCTGGCTTCTTTCAGTTGGGTAACACCTTTGCCGTTCTATCCACATCCAGCCTCTGCTTTAGAATAAAACTCTCTTGACTTCACTCTGTTCCTGTCATCATATTGCTCCCTAGGCATCTAGATCTGTCTGTAATCTATGAAATTAAAAAATTCTCTTTAGGCATTCCGTGTGATACTAGCCACGTGTCTCCCAGGAAGATTGAATGCACCACCAGGGCTCCAGGAAGAGGTACAAGGCTCACTGCTCCTCAGGCAGGTAAGGAAATCACCAGGGCTGCTCAATGAACTTGTTTAATCTTAAGAGTCTAGGAGTAGACATGAATGTGTTTGGATTCTGTCTCAGCTGCCTGACTAGTTAATTCAATGAAGCCTGGGTCTATAATATCATTGTTAATGTTTTCCTACCTGAGATGCTTATAGCCTGACTCAGGTGACTAGCAACTTATGTCTTCAGCCCCAGTCAGGGGTGTGGCCAGTGGAGGTCAGTGGAGACTATGACCCAGAAAGCAGAGACAATACTGTAGCTCCTGGAGTAAACTCCCAAACTCCTTCCTTATATATTATGGGTCAGGCTTTTCTGTACTCCTAGCAGCAGTATTAGGCAAGGCTAGAGACTGGAGCACTAAGGGATTCATTTAAATGTTGTTTTGCTCCTCTGTGGGCATGTGACATTGCCACCGGCATATACCTGTAGTGAGCAGAAGTGAAAGAGGCAAGGTAGAAGGTCCCACCTGTCTTCTGTTCAAGCTTCGGTCATGGCACACAGCTGAAAGCACTTTTCTGCTAAGCATTAGATCTGGAGCCTAGCATGTAGTTGAGGATTAGGGTGGCTGGCATTTTTTCTACCTGGACCCACAGATGCTCTCTCTTGCACTGGGAGCAGCTTCATGGGTAAACTAGAAGCAGCGGTGTCAGCTCTAGAGGCTTTTTACCTGTAAGGAGAGTTGCTCTGCAGCAAGGATACTTCTAAAGAAAGGCCATTCAGGTGTGAAAATGCATGCAGAGGTTTTGCTTGAGAACTCTCCACCTCCCAGATCTGTAGTTTTTATTTAAGGAAGGCTCCCATCCAAGGAAGCAAAACACCTAAAACAAGTAATCAGGAAAATGTGTGTTTCCTGCGACTAGAAATAGAAAGCTTCCTCCCTCATTGAGTGGCTCTTACTTTTGTGATTCAAGTGGTGGTGAGATAATTACTTACTGTTTTTGAGTTAGCAGTGCCCTTCTGAAAAGCTTGAGAGTTCTTCCATGGGAGCAGGAGGACACAGTACTGTGCAAACCTATTCCACAGAGGTGGGAGGGTGTGATTTTGCTTCGAGAGGACATTTGGCAATGTCTGGGGGCAGTTTTGTCAGTTACACCTTGGGATGGTGGTGGTGCTGATGGCATCCGGTGCGTAGAGGCCAGGGATGCTGCTAAACGTATTGTAATGCAACAAGGTCACCTGGCCTAAAATGTCAGCGTTGGTGGGGTTGGGAAAGTGGGTCAAAGTAATGTTCTTAGAACATGCTCTCCATTTTCTTTTTATCCCTTATCTATCTCTCCACTTTGGTAAATGAGAAACCATGATGGTAGTTTAGAAGAGTGACCACTATCATAGTTGTCCTTCATAGCACACGTACTGTATTTCAGGCTGTTTTTATATGTATCTCCATCTCCCTCTGCCCCAATGTATTATCTCTATTTGTTATTTTCCCCATTTTGATGCATGAGGAGATGAAGAATCAGGGGCATTAACTTGCTCATAGTTAAACATCTAGTAAGGGTGGACTTAGAACCTGAACCCACAGAGATAGGAGTCCAGAGATTTTACCCTCAACCCAAATCAGTGTCCAATACTAATTGTGCCTGTGCCTTTGGCCTCAGGGTTTGCTATATATAAAACACAAATTGATAAGTATGACATCACTTAAAATGTCACACAATAGCAGCATGACACATAATTAGGCGTGTAGAGGTCCATAAGTTGAGATCATGGCACTTAAAAGGTTTAAGGGTTGCCAGATCCTAGGAAAACATTGTTATGGAATAAAATTCCCAGGCTAAAGTTGACCTTAAAAGATGCTGGTGTGCACTTCAGGTTTTGGGGCACACAAAGGCAGGCCATGCTGCAGGCACTTACCCTGCCCTCTTTCACGCAACTGGAGTGTGCATTTTTCTTTCAATTTTCTCTAGGATTTGGCTCTCTTTTGAAGTACTCCTATTAGAAAGGGCTTCCTACTCTTTCATCTAAGTCTTTCCCTCACTTTTTCTTATCAAGACCTTCTTTACAAGAGGCTGAATTCTACACAAGGACTATTTTTTGCTTTCCAGATATTTGTAATATCTGTACATTATCTCATGTGATTTCTTCATCGGGATTTATAGATTGTACCTGGATCATTTTTCACTCTGTAATTTGACAGAGAGGAGTCCCTCAATTTGGAGAGTAATAGTTCTTGTGGTTATGAGATACATATATCTTACAGGCAATCGAGGACTTCTTTTTGAAGTTGGAGATGTTGCCGAGGGCTTGGAACTGACTGAAGCCACCCCTGGGTATAGGAGGCAGATTGTGCCTAATGCCAGTTCTTCATTTGGATTTTGGTCAAAGGAAGGACAGCCTTTCAGGTATGTTGTAACAAAAGTAGGAGTTCACATCAAAAGCATCTTCACTAGCGCAGCAGAAGCTGGGATACAGATAAGGAAGGCAGTGAAATTTCCAAGGGAGAATTTATCACTACAAACAATTGAACAACAGAACCTCACGTCCTTTCTACCATCAAGTTGACCAAGTTGTTAGTCATGCTAGCAACTTGTAGAGCATTTGTAGGTTCTCATCCAACTATTGATCAGTATGTAAAATTTATATAGTTTACAACTCTGTTTACAATTTGATTTGGAAATGATTGCAAGTTGCAACATTGAGCCGAGCAGACCAGGAAATTTGGTAGGTAGAGGGGTAAAACTCACTGTTGGCATGTAGTTGAGTAAGACCAACTTCTGGCCGAAGCCAAAGAGAGATACAAGAACTTGCTCTTGGAGTCTTTGAGGGAGCAATAGTTCTGCTGGAACAACCATAACCTAATGAATGTTGACCTAACCACCAGTATATAAATGGAGGCCCTCTTGTGGGCTCTTGAAATGTGGTTTTCTACAGTTGCAATTACTTGTGATTATGATTTTCCTGGTTAGTTTTGTTTTGATTTCTTCAGTGCCAACATTTATAGCTCTCGTTTTTGAAGAAAACATTTATTGGTGCATTTTAGATGCACATAATGATGACACTCATCATAGGGAATTTGTACCTATACATGATATATTCTGCCTCTTCTTCTTTTCCCACCCCCTCATTGACTCCCCTCTCTTCCCTGTATACAAAAGCTTTGTTTCTGTATTTTTGTTCTATTTTCATTTTCTTTCTTGTCACTTCCTTGTTTTCCTCCTCCTCCATCCTTTGTTTCCCTTCCCATTTGAATATTTTCTTCTTGTTTCCCAGTATCTGTTATACATTTTATTTCCTCCTTCAGTTTCTCACACCAGAGAAACAATGCAGTATTTAAACATGTGTGTTCAATTTATTTCACTTAAGAGTATGGTCTCAAGGTATGTCCATTTAGCTATAAATGAACTTGAGACATTTATAGCTTTCTAAAATGATCTTAAATATACAAAAGCATGAGAGTTGCTTAGACACTGCTTCCTCAGTGCTCCCAGTGTACATGTGGAGGGACGGATGCTGTAGGGCACGATGAATCTCCTCCTCCTTCAGATCTTCCTCAGGGGGCTGGAGGTAATTTCAGGTAATTTGTGACCTCCTCCAGGGAATGCACCATAGATCACAATTCAGTTGTGGAGTACACATCAAGGAGAAGGGAAGGATGCCTTCTGAGCCTCACTGGCTTGGTACCTAACACGAAATTTATGGTTTAAAAGTGGTACTCATTTGAGGGTCCACTGTAGAGCCTAATGTGCATCTTTCTCATCCCTTTTGAGATCCACTAATAAGGCTTAGAGAAAAACTTTTCAGCCCATTTAGTAGGTAAAGGAGGGAGTCAGACCATCTCAAGAGGAAAAAAAACCATTCACACTTGCATGGTAGGACTTGTAGGGTTTGTCCCTTTCACTGCCATGGAGGAGCTACAAACCAGGTGGTAACGAATTTTTCATTCTTCCATCCAATTTTTGAAAATTTAGAAGTTTAAAATAAAAATTGGAATATTTGTTCATGGACTGATAAATTAATATTACATTGATGAACTTTTAAAAGCTATTTTTGAAACTGTTTACAAATACAAAACTTTCTCTGAAGATAAAAATATATACATTAAAACCAAATGTAAAACCTCTTTATATGGATGATCTGAGGATTTTTAAAAAGCAGAAAACATTTTTATATTTATTTAGGTGATTTGATCATTTTAAAATCAATTTATCTCCCTAACATCATCACTAGAATTTATCTTAAATATGTAAAAGAAGATTTTACTTTAAAAACATTTCATAACATTGTCTACAATATTCTTCAAAGTTGCATTTTCTGGCTTTTAATTTGAAATTGTCAACAGCTTCAGCTGAATCTTTTCGTGATTATAATTATTTCTAGTTGGAAAAATATTATGCAGGCATTGAAGTATCTGATAAATTTACAGCAAGTTCTGGTGGTTGATCTTGCTTTATTTCTAATAATAAGAATAATATCTGATAGTGACTGAGTCCCTGTGATGGTCCCTGGTCTGCACTACCTGTGGCAGCTGATTTTGTCAGATGAACCTTTATACAGTCCTAACCTGTGGCTGCAAACAAGACAGATACTGAGATTATGCTGTATGTCATACTGTGGCTCATCCTAGAATGCTCTGGACAAGCATGTGCATAAGAGTCAGGTTTTTCTTTGTCATTATCAAAAGAAATGCAAGGTGCAAGGGCGACTATCTGTTGCATTGGTAATTCAGGACTTGGTTACTCTTGCTTGGCTCTGTTCTTTTGCTTTACAGGGCACGACTCAGTGGGTTCTTTGTGGCTCCAGAGACAAATAATTACACATTTTGGATCCAGGCAGATAGCCAAGCTTCCTTGCATTTCAGTTGGTCAGAGGAACCGAGGACTAAGGTGCTCATTTTCTTTTTCTTTGTCACCAGTCTTATATCCTTGACTAAAGGAAGAATAAAAAATAAAGCTCTCATGTTCTATACATAAGTTTAACATGCCATTAAGTGATCAGGGGCTTTAAATTTTGAAAAAGAATTTGGCTGAATTATAATGGTATATACTGTTGATTGAGCCTTTATTTTAAACCAAGCATTATATATTTTGTCTTCACGGTATCTCTGTAAAGTATGTTTATTTACCTCCATTTTTCCACATGAGAAAAATTGAGGCTTTGAAGGATTGCATGGCTAATCCAGGATTACTTGGATAATAATAAGAGGCAGGATTCAAACTCAGGTTTGTTTGAATCCAAACCTTGTGCATTTTCTACTGAATTTGGGCAGAGATGAGATATAGCTAGCCTCATGAAGAAATCTCACCATGAACTTACAAGGATAAGAAAAGATGCATCTAACAAGAAGTCAAAATTCACTTGTGATTTTGACAAAGAACAACAATATTTTAATAAACTTCTTTGAAATTGATTAGAAAAAGGTAATGGGTTTTTATGTAATGAAGTCATTCTAGATCTTTCAAGGGCTTAATGCTGTTTTTTCACAACACAATATGTGTTAGGTTGGCTGTTTCTGCTCTAATTGTGTACCATCTAGACTTATTTGAATACTATTCAACAGACAGAGAGAGAGAGACAGAGAGAGAGAGAGAGAGAGAGAGAGAGAGAGAGAGCGGGAGGGAGGGAGAAAAGGGCAGAGAGAGACAGAAGCAGAAAGTGAGGCAGAGAGACAGAGAAGCATAAAAAACCATAGGGCCAAAGTAACTGGGTTGATTTATTGGAAAAGGCTGACTGGTTGAAACACCTCAGTGCTAGTGAGGCCAAAGATTTAGTTCAGCGGTTCTGCTGCCTGCCTCACAAGTACAAGGTCCTGAGTTCAATCCCTGGTACCTTAGTGCAGATGCTCACTATTCGAGGAAAAACAATGCCTGCAGGCTTCATAATGTTGATTTTGATGTACTTACTGGGCACAGGTGAAAGTGGCCTCCATTCGGATTGGCACTACTGACTGGTTTGACTCCTGGGAACAGAATGGGAACGAAGGGACCTGGCAACAGAAGACTCCCAAGATGGAGCTGGTGGGTGGAGCCAAGTACTATCTGGAGGCAGAGCATCATGGGATAACTCCCAGCAGAGGAATGAGAATTGGCGTCCAGATCCATAACACCTGGCTGAATCCTGATGTGGTCACCACTTACCTCCGGGAGAAGCACCAGATCAGTGTCAGAGCCCAGAGACTTCCAGAAATACAGGTCTGCCTCTCTTTCCAAACCTATGGAGTTGAACTTCTGGGAGAGGAAATGGTCTCTTCTTGCTATGAAAAGATCACTGGTTGAGAGCCAATGGTCCTGAGTTGTAATTATAACTCTGCTGACAAATACTTAGTATATCTATTCAACTGGGCTGTATTATTGAGATTACCCTATTCACTGACTTAGTTTTAGGAATTTCCCTACAGGTCAGTCATTTTTTTTTTTTTTTTAACTTAGTCTCCAGAGTACAGTTAAGGTCCTTCAAACACACACAAATACACACAAACACACCACCACCATAGCTTTTTAACTGCTTCGATTCCTAGTTTTAAGCCTAGTTATTTTTGTTGAGTAATCTTGTTGTACTTTCCATTCACTTTTTGGTGTATGAAGATGAATCAATATGGACTCTGTCTTCTAAAGATTCCCATTAACTGTAATGTATATATGAAAAACTGTAGAACAAAGTAGAAAATAGCAAGTGGTTTAGTGGATGAAAAGCTGCAGAGAGCTTACTCTAGAGCACGAGTATAATGCATCTTCCAGAGAAGGCATTGGAAACAAAGACTTCGCAGGCACCGGGAGAGCAGGGGTGCCACAGCCTTCAGGCCACCCTGGGAGAAAGCGTTTTCTGAGAGGGACTGAGAGTGCAGCAGACTTGTTGTCTCATACTCCAAGAAAGAGGACAGAAAATCAGTGAGACAGTTTATTCCACAAAACATTTTCATAGGTGATGACACTGTGTCCTTTCTAGATGGTGATACATTTAGAAAATTGAAATGATGATAAAATCGAAATAGCAAGCTTAGGAGGTCTATTCTGTGTTCCTAATCTGTCTCTTGGGTTTCCCTGGCACACGTCAGTTGGTCCTGTCTTTCTTGATTTCATAGGTGCTGAATGTGTCAGGCAGAGGAGACTTTTTCCTTACTTGGGACAACGTCTCCAGTCAGCCAATCCCTGCAAATGCCACAGCCCAGCAGGTGGGAGCCCTCTCCAAACAGGAGGGGTGGAGGTGAGAGACCTAGGGGTGGTCTTTATGTCAACTACATGAACTTATGGTGTTATGTTTCCTTTTGAATAGATTCAAACCACCATTGAAAATTTACTTGCAGTAAAATGCAACCTGGAACCGCTTTCTGCTAACATCTTACTCCGGCTTGGATTTGAACAAGGTGTTCCTGTTGTCTTTTTACTCTCTGTGAGAGAGGAGCTATCCTCAGTTCTCCTCCAAGATGCTAACAGAGTCAAATAAAAACAAGAAAACGAATTTTGGATGCAGAGTGGCCAGGGCAGTCGCTTCATGCTTGGGAGGGGAGGCACTTGTGTAGTGGCTAAGGAAAGGAGAGCTTGTCCTCTTGAGCCACTAGGGGAGTAAAGTACTGCCCATGTGTCCCCACACTAACGGTGGGTGACACACAACTGTAAAATCTTGTTTAATTCAAAATCCCTCTAAAGCAATTGTCACCGAAGAAAGTATTAGAAATGTTTAAAATATGAAGGTGTTTTTAAAATCATACCAAAATGAACTGAATTCCAGTTGATTTTTTCTTTTAATCTCTCTGCTTCTCAATTGTTGTTGGTGTCTTGGTACATAGGAAAATGATAACAGAGATCTCATATTTGGGGTCAGGCCCAAGAGTTTCTCATAGCTGGAGCTTTTGAGTTGGAGGGTGCTGGCCACTGAAGCCCTGTTTAGCTCTCCCAAGGACTGAAGGATCAAGATCACATTGAATGCACACCCTGTCACTGCACACACAGGTTCTAGTTTAACATCCATGCTTCTTTTCCTGTGTTATCAAACCACATGCAGGCCTAGAAGGCTCCAGCTCTGATGGGGACCTCACCAGTGGGACAGAGCCCTTCTGTGGCAGATTCAGCCTCCACCAACCTCGACACCTTGACCTGATCCCCCGTGCTGCACAGAAGGGCTATCGGCTGGATCAGTACTCACATGTGAGTGTAGTTCTCAGGCTTCTAGTCAGGTGGATTGAGAGGGGTGAATATCTCTGGCTTGGAGACCAAGAAAATAAGCACAAGGGAGTGATTGCTGTGACTTTCCCAATGCTGTTTGGACTAAGGCTCTGTGTATCCTAAGTGCTCTTTCAGGTATAAACCGATGCACCTGGCCCCCACTACGGAGTTGCTACCTGGAAATGCCTTTGTACTAGCTTTAGTGATAAGGGCTATGGAAGTTTTTATATGGCTAGCATTGTGTTTGCTCTCTAGGAGTAAGTACAGACTTTGCATTCTGAATTTTTGATTCATTAAGTGTATTGGTACATTTTAGGTATATATAATGATCACATTCATCATTGGGATCTTGGTTCTTCTTTTTTCTCCCTTTCCCCCTCTCTCCACCGCTTCATCCTTCCACCCCTCCCTATTTACAAAAAACTTTGTTTCCATTTTTTCCTTCTTTTCTCGTATTTTTTCTTTCCCTTATTTACTCCCCTCCACTTCCCCTTCCCCTTTACACCTATTCTTCCTACCTCACATTATCCATTGTACATTTGGATCCTCATTTACACTTTGTTTCTCACACCAGAGAAACTATTTGGTATTTACACACGTGTGTCCTATTTATTTCACTTAAGAGTATGGCCTCAATGTGCATTCATTTAGCTATACATGTATCCAGGTTATCATTCTTTATGGCTGCATACTATTTAATTTTATAAAAACCATATCGTTTCTTTTGTTTTGTTTTGTTTTTGTTTTTGAGACAGGGTCTCACTGTGTAGTTCAGACTGCTCTGGAACTCACTGTGTAGCCCAGGCTGATCTCTAACATGCAGCAATCCTCCTGCCTCAGCCTCCCAAGTGCTGGGATTACAGGTGTGCGCCACCACACCTGGCTAAAATACATATCTTTATCCAGTCACCAGTTGATGGGCATTTGGGCTGTTTCCAAGATTTAGCTATTAAAAATTGTGCCACTATAAACATGGGTGCACATATTTTACTGTGGTATGAGTCCTGGAAGATACCTAGAAAGGGAATAGCCAGGTCAAATGGAACCTCTAATCCTAGTTTTTTGAGGAATTTTCATACTGGTTTCATAGTGGTTGCACCAGTCTGCACTCCCAACAACAATGGAGAGGGGTTCCTTTCTCCCCACAACCCTGTTAACATTTGTTATTGGTTAATTTCCTGATAGCAACCATTCTTTTCGGGGTGAAGTGGAATCTCAGTACTATTTTCATTTGCATTTCTTGAATGATCAGTCATGTTGAACATTTTTTTATATGTTTATTTGCTGTTTATACTTCTTTGTCTGAGAAATATCTGTTCATTTCAGATGCCCATTTTTGGACTGGGTTTTTAAATTTGGCAGGTCTGATTTTTTAAATTTCTTTATATATTCTAGATAGTAGACCTTTGTCTGAGGAACAGCTAGTAAAAGTTTTTTCCCACATTGTAGATTGTCTCGTGACTCTGTTGGTGGTTTCACTTGCTGTGCAGAGGCTTTTTGATAAGATGAGATCCCAATTGTTAATTCTTTGTACTAGTTCTCGTGTGACTGAGGTTTTGTTCATAAAGTCTTTTTCTGCAACAACATCTTCAAGAGTTTGATCTAACTTAACCTATCTTTTAGCAGGTTTAGTGTTTCTGTTTTAATGTTTAGTTAATCTTTGATCCATTTCAGTTTTAGTTTAATGTACAATGAGAGATATAGGTCTAGTTTTAATTTTCCGCAGGTTGAAATCCAATTTTTCCAGCACCATTTATTAAAGAGGCTATCTTTCCTCCAGTGAGGGTGTTTGGCTCCTTTGCCAAAAATGATTTGGCTTAGTGGTTCTGCCACATGCCTTGCAAGCGCAGGGCCCAAGTTAGATCCCTGGTACCCCCCCAAAAAAGGTGGCTGACTATTTCTAGAGTTGTTTCTGCATCCTCTAATCTGTTCCATTGATCCTTGAATCTGTTTCTTTGCCAGTATAATGTTGTTTTTTAATCACAGCAGCTTTGTAGTATAGTTTTGAGTTGGGAATTGTGATACCCACTGCCTTGTCTTTGTTGCCTAGCACTACTTTTGCTATTCTGGGTCTCTTTTGGTTCCAAGTGAATTTTTGGATTGTTTTCTCCAGTTCTGTGAAATATGCTGTTGGAATTTCAATTGGGATTGCATTGAATCTACATAGCAGTTTTGGAAGTGCAGCCATTTTCACTAGACTGGTTCTTACCCAGGAACAAAGGATGTCATTCCATTTTCTGACTTTCTCTTCAATTTCTTTTTTCAGAGTGCTGTTGTTTTCAGAGAAGAGGTTTTTTACTTCCTTTGTTAGATTGATTCCAGGTATGGAGTTGTTTCTCCAGTTCCTCTCTCAGGGTGTCTGTTGTTCATGTACAGAAAGGCTATTGATTTTTGTGTGTTGACCTTGTATCAAGCTACTCTACTGAATTTGGTTATTAAGACTAGAAGGCTTTTGGTGGAGTTCTTGGGGTCTTCTATATAGAGTATCATGTCACCTGCACATAATGACAACTTGACTTCTTCACTTCCTATTTTTATTCCTTTTCTTTCTTTTGTCTAATTGCTGTGGCTAATGTTTCCAAAACTATATTAAACAGGAGTGGTGATAGTGGACATTCTTGTCTTTTTCTTGATTTTGGTGTGAAATATTTCAGTTTTTGACCATTTAGTATGACATCTGTTCACTTTGTCAGGTTGAGATAAAGACTTCCAATTTTCTGTAGGGTTTTTTTTTTTAAATCAAGAATGAGTGTTGAAATTTGTCAAATGCTTTTTCTGCATCTACTGAGATGATCTGAAGTTTTTGTCCTTGGCTCTATTAATATAGTGTATTATATTTATTGGTTTGTATATGTTGAGCCATCCTTGCATCCCTGGGATGAATCCTACTCTGTCAGGGTATATTATCTTTTTGTTCTTTTTTTTTAAACGAATTTTATTGGTACATTTAAGGTATATAATGTAATGACATTCATCACTGGAAATTTTCACCTTTACATACTCCATCTTGGTTCTTATTTTTTCCCCATTCCCTTGCCCTCCCTTCAACCCCTCCACCCATTTCTATCTACAAAGCCTTTGTTTCCATTTTTTCTTTTTCTTGTGTTAATTCCATTTCCACCTTTCTTATCCCCTACCTCTCCCACTTCCTATTTAACATTATCTATTATACCTTTTAGTCCTTATTTACACTCAGTTTCTTAGAGAAACTAGAGAAACTATTCATTATTTACACATATGCATCCTGTTTATTTCACTTAAAAGTATCACCTCAATGTTCATCCAATTAGCTATAAATGTTTCTAGTTTTTCATTCTTTATGGCTGAGTAGTACTCTATTTTATAAAAACACCCCACATTTTCTAGTATATGTGCTGCCAAAGTGAGCACAGTTCTTCTTCCTCCTCCTCCTCTTTCTTCTTCTTCTTCTTCTTCTTTTTTTTTTTTTTTTGGTACCAGGGATCAAACTTGGGACCTTATGCTTGCAAGTCAGATGGTGGAACCACTGAGCTAAATCCCCAGAAAAAAAACACATTTTCTCTATCCAGTATCCTGTTGATGGGAAGTTGGCTGTTTCCGAGTTTTAGCTATCACTAATTGTGATTCTATGAACACGGGTGCACATATATCACAGTGCTGTGATTCTTTAAATTCTTTGAGGAAGATACCAAGCAGGGGTATGGGGTATGGGGACCTCCAATCCTAGTTCTTTCAGGTATCTCCATATTGATTTTCATAGGGTTTCATCAGCCTACACTCACAGCAGCAGTGGAGCAGCTTTTTCCTTTCCCCACATCCCCACTAGCATTTATTATTGGTTGATTTCATGATAGCAGCCATTCTTTCTGGGGTGAGGAGGAATCTCTCAGTGTTGTTTTCATTTGCATCTCTCAAATGACCAGTGATGTTGAACATTTTTTCATATGTTTATTTGCTATTTCTACTTCTTTGTCTGAGAAATGTCTGTTCATTTCAAATGCCCATTTTTGAATTGGGTCTTTAAATTTGGGAAGTTTGAGTTTTTAAAGTTCTTTATATATTCTAGGTAGTAGACCTTTGTCTGAGGAAGAGCTGGTGAAAATTTTTTCCCACATTGTGGGTTGTCTCTTCACACTGTTAGTGGTTTCTCTTGCTGCGCAGAAACTTTTTAATAAGAAGAGATCTTCCTTGTTGATTGTTTCTGCTAGTCCATTGGCAGCTGAGGTTTTGTTTATAAAATATTTTCCTACACCACTGTCTTCAACAGTTCTACCAAACCTCTCTTCCGGCCTGTTTAGAGGTTCTATTTTAAGATGTAGATCTTTAAACAATTTTGATTTTAGTTTAGTGCGTGGTGCGAGATATAGGTCTAGTTTTAATCCTTGGCAATTTGAAGCCTAGTTTTTCCAGTACCATTTATTAAAGAGGCTAACTTTCCTTCAGTGAGGGTGTTTGGCTCCTTTGTGGAAGATGAGGTGGCTGAGTTTGTCTGGAGTTGTTTTTGCATCTTCTAATCTGTTCCACTGGTCCTCAGGTCTATTTCTTTGCCATTACCATGCTGTTTTTATCACAGTGGCTTTGTAGTATAGTTTCAAGTTGGGGATTGTCATACCCCCTGCCTTGTCTTTGTTGCCTAAAATTGCTTTTGCTATTCTAGGTCTCTTCTTGTTCCAAATGAACTTTTGGATTGTTTTCTCAAGGTCTGTGAAATATGCTGCTGGGATTTCAATTGGGATTGCATTGAATCTATATAGCAGTTTTGGAAGTATGGCCATTTTCACTATGTTGATTCTTCCTACCCAGGAGCAGGGGTTGTCTTTCCATTTTCTGATATCTTCTTCAATCTCTTTTTTCAGAGTGTTGCAGTTTTCAGAGTAGAAATTTTTGATTTCTTTCATTAGGTGGGTTCCTAGGTATCTCATTTTTCGGGATGCTATTATGAAAGGAATTGATTACCCATTTCTCTCTCAATGAGTCCGTTTTTCATGTACAGGAAATGTACATGTACATTTCTGTGTGTTGACCAGAAAATCCAGGTATTTTGCTGAATTTGTTTATTAAGTCTAGAAGACTTTTGATGGAGTTTTTGGGATTTTCTAAATAGAGTATTATGTCATCTGCAAATAATGACAGTTTGACTTCTTCCTGTCCTATCTTTATTCCTTTTATTTCTTTCTGTTACCTGATTGCTGTGGCTAGTGTTTCCAAAACTATATTGAACGGGAGTGGCGAGAGTGGACATCCTTGTCTTTTTCTTGATTTCAGTATTTTTTGTTGGTAAGTTTTTAATTACATTTTTCATTTCGTTGATTGATATTGGGTTGTTTAGAATTTTTAGATCTTCTTTGTTAAACTTTGGTAAATTATATGTACTTAGAAATCTATTTCTTCTATGTTTTCCATCTCATTGGAATACAGATTTCCAAGGAAGGTATTGATGATCCTCTGGATTTCTGCTGGGACTGCTAATTTCACTCTTTGTCCTTCTTAATTGCATGTATTTGGGCCTTTTCTTTCCTTTTTTCTTTTGATAAGGTTGGCTAAGAGTTTATCAATTTTTTAATTCTTTTGAAGAACCAACTCTTTGCTTCATTGATTTTTTTTGTATCATTCACTTAGTAGGCATTACATTAATTCTACTCTGATCTTTATAATTTCCTCCTTTGTATGAATTTTGGGTATGTCCTGCTCTTCTTTTTCTATAAGCTTGAAGTTCAGTATTAGGTTATTTATTTGAGCTTGTTTTGTTTTCTGAATATGGGTATTCACTTTTATGAATTTCCCATAAGACTGTTCTCATTGTGCCCCATAAATTCCAGTATGTTGTATTGGCATTATCATTTAATTATAGAAAATTTCTAATTTCTTCTATAATTTCCTCTGTGATGCATTGGTTGTTCAGGATAGTATTATTCAATTTCCATGCATTTATGAAGTTCTTGTGATTTCTTTTGCTATTGATCTGTAGTTTCATTGCACTGTGATCTGATATTACACAGGGGATCACTTCAATTCCTATGCATTTACTGAAACATATTCTGTGAGCTAATATGTGGTCTATGTTTGAGAATGAACAACTTGTGTGCAGCTGAAAAGAATGTACATTCTGATTTTGTGGGTTGGAACATTCTTTAAACATCTGTTTGTTTGAGTTCTAGTATTTTGTTGTTGGGTTTTAGTCTAGTTGATCTGTCTATTTGTGGCAGTGCAATATTGAGCTCCCCCTCTACTATTGTATTAGTGTCTATTTGCTCTTTAATGTCTGATAATATTTGTTTTATATAGTTGGGTCACTAGTTTTTGGTGTACATATATTATTATAGTATATATGCTGATGAAGTGAGTGTGGTGCATATATATTTATAATTGTCATCTCTTCCTCTTGGATTACTCCCTTTACCAGAATGTAGTGACCTTCTTTGTCTCTCTTACTTAGTCTTGGTTTGACATTCACTGTCTGCAATAGGATAGCTACTCCTGCTTTTTTTTTTTTTTTTTTTTTTGGTGGGGGGTTCCTGTTGCATGGAGTATTGTTTTCCACCCTCTGACTTTCAGTCTGTGAATTTCTTTTTGAATTAAGTGTCTTTCTTGTATGAAACATATTGCTGGATCTTGCTTCTTGATCAATTCTGTCAGTCTGTTTGTTTTGATTGGTGAATTGAGACCATTAACATTGATGGTTAAAATGGGTATGTATCAACTTATCTTTGTCATGATATTTTCCTGTTGCATTTAATTTCTTTCCTTTCCTAATGGATTTATTCTGTTGGATTACACGGAATTGCAATCCTCATTGTCTTTTCCTAGGATATTGCTTGAAGTGCTGGTTTGATATTCATGAAGTTCCTCAGGTGTTCTTTGTTGTGAAAGTATCTTATTTCCCCATCAATTTTGAAAGCTAGTTTTGCAGGGTACATCAATCTGGGTTGGAGGCTGTTTTCTTTTAAGGCTTGAAATACTTTACTCCAGGCTCTTTTTGACATGAGGGTTTGTGCTGAGAAGTCTGCTGTGATTCTGATGGGCTTTCTTTTGTATGTGATTTGTTTCTTTTCTCTAACTGCTTGTAGTATTTTCTTCTTCTGTTGAGTTTCTGGAATCCTGACTTATATGGCTAGATGTGGATTTTTTTTTTTATTCATGGCTTGTTTGGAATCCTATATACCTCACTTATCTGTATGTCAAATTCTTTTTCCCTACTTGGGAAGTTTTTGCCATTACTTCTGGAAAAGTTTTTTTTTTTTTTTTTTTTTTAATGTCGTTTGCACTATCTCCTGCTTTTTCACTAAGTGCAGTCAGTTATGTTATTCTTTGCATCATCTAGCAGCTATGATTTTTTTGTGGTCCTTTGCTATTTTTAAGAAATCTTTCTTTTCCTAGTCACTGACCGCAATCCTGTCTTCTATAGCTGTTATTCTGTCTTCACATTGGCTCATTCTGCTGCTTATACTTTCAGTGGAGTTTGTAATCTGGGTATCTGTTTGAATCTGCTTTAAGGATTCTATTTTTGTCCTATGCTGGGCATTTGTGGATTCCATTTTTTTCACAAGCTGCTGCTTCTTCTTCTTCTTCTTCTTCTTCTTCTTCTTCTTCTTCTTCTTCTTCTTCTTCTTCTTCTTCTTCTTCTTCTTCTTCTTCTTCTTCTTCTTCTTCTTCTTCTTCTTCTTCTTCTTCTTCTTTTTTGGTCAGTGTCTTCTCTAGAGTTATTAATCATGACTTTCACTATGGTCATGTTCTCCATTGTTATCTGCAAATTTATTTCTGATTTCATTTTTTTCAGATCCTCTTTCACTGCCAGTTCAGGGAATCTAGGTGGTTGAGTTTCAGATTGTTCCATCTTGCTCTCCGGATTTCCTTTTGTTGATCTGGAAATTTGAGTTTGCATCTTGTTTAGATGTCTTCTCACTTCTATTTTTTCATTATTTTTGAAATTTTTGGTTTAATTCCTGGGTAGCTGCTTATAAATAGCTCATTGTAAGTATCTTTATTGCTAGTATTTAGGGAATGGCTGCTTCTTGGATTGTCTTTTAGGTATAGTAGGCCTTTGGGTTTTGAGTCTGTAATGGCCCTTAAGCAATCTTAGTTTTGGTATACTGTGAAGGACAGCTGCCTAGGAAAATCATGCCAGCTTGGCCAAAGTAATACAATCAGCATCAAACACAACATAGAAAATGACAAATTGTGGTAGCTATTATTCTGACACCTTTAACTGCTTGGACTACATTTGTGGTTATATTCCAAAATCTTGGACCAACCAGAAATACGTATACTGTAAAAAATCCCTTCAATATAGCGACTTTACCCTCCAGGAAGAAGACTTAGAAGGAGTTGGAAGGGTGGTAGAGAGATAGAAGAAGAAGAGGTCAGAAATAGGGCTGGAAGTTACAGAAGGATCACAAAATGTTTGGGAAACTGGTGAAGACAGAAGGTAAAGAGAAGGTAGGAACAAAAACAAGACAGCAACAGAAAAACTATAAACTTTATTCACACTCCTGTAACAATAAAACCCACCAAGAAAACAAAACAAACAAACAAACAAACAAAAACAGGGCCAGGGATTTAGCTCAGTGGTGCCACTGTCTGCCCGCCTTGCAGGTGGAAGGTCCCAAGTTCAATCCCCAGTACCCCCAAAAAAAGAAAAAAAAAAGAAAGAAAAAACAAACAAACAAAAGGAACAGGACAAAAACAGAAGTAAGAAAGGAGAGAAATGGAGAAGAAGAAAAGACAAATAAAATAAAAGAAAAAAGGGGTCTAGGTCCCTGCTGCAGGGGCATGGGATGCCCTTGTGGGTGTGGGCTGGTGAGTGCATGTCTTACAGTCTGCATTCTGGTTTTGAATACTGATCCTCTGTGCCTACACTGTCTTATTTGGGTACACTGTGCCTTAGTTTACTCATGTGTAAAATCGGTAATTATATGGTCAAACTCTCGGGTATGTAATGAAGATTAAATGAGACCATCTAGTAAAGTACTTCCACAGAGACAAAGGCATGGTGGAACTTAGTTATTGTTATTATGGTTAACGTTATTGATGAATTGAAAGACACACTTCTTGAACACCTCTTATGCCCTTTGCTTTAGTACCTCTGCTATACTTCATAAAAGAGATGCAGCTAATTTGTCCTTTGTGATCTAGATGGGTCCTCCTGGGGTGGCAGAACTCATGGTAGTAGTTTAGGTCTTTTTTTTTTTATTAATTTATACTGGGAGTTGAGGATAAATGGTCCTTGCCTTGGCTCTCAAGTATCTTCAACCTCTACTCTAGTACAGGTTCTCCCAAGGGGGAAGTGGCTTTATCCTTTTAGGAGAGAGTTGTAAATATATGAAAATATGCTTGGTAGTGACAACTGGGGAAGTGTTATTGGCATCTACTGTGGTAGATAATGGCCAGAGGTGCTGCTGAAGGTCCTGTAACATCAGGACAGCCCCCCCCCACAATAAATTACCTAGTTCCCACAGCGTTGATTGTGCCCATGTTGAAAATGCCTGCTCTAATATCTTCTCGTGCCAGATAACTTTGTACTTGAGTTATAAGGCAAGGATGTTAGGGTATTAAAGAAATGCTCAGAGAGGGTAAATGACTTGCTCAAGTCTGCACAGGTTAAACAGATATTTTCTATTTAAGATACTCTGTGATCCTCATAGCAAGGCACAGTTTTAGACATTTAAACACTCTGTTGTATATTTTCTTGTTCTCAGAAGAATTTATTAAGTTTTCCCCCAGACTTCTTGAAATAAGTGATAATTTGTTCTAAAGTATTTGTGTCTCCAGCTAGACTGATATACTCTGTGCAGGCAGGCCTTGGACTCTTTCGTAGTATGTAGCTGGGTCTAGAGATGTGGAGTATTCACAATGTTTAAAAGGCTGATTTTTGCCATAATGGAACTGAGGGACTTGTTTGGTGTCCACAGCTGTGCATGGCATACAAAGGCTACAGAAATACAATCCTGAGGATGACTGTATCTTTTGTAATCGGCTTTCAAAACATCACAAAGAAGAATAGTACCTGTGACTGGAGTCTCATGGGTACCAGCCCCAAGAGGTAGCTATTCTTCAGGAGGTAGGATGGGGATTCTGCCTGCTGGAGAGGTGGGATTGACTGTCATGTCAACAGTGGACCATGGGATATACTAACAACCTTACATTTGGGACCCAGCTAACTTCAGGCTTTGAACTTAATCTATTTGACAAAGTATTATGACTCAAGAACAGGTAGCTGCTAAGGACAGAACAGTTCTTAGCAGGACTCTGAAATTTCTCATAGGCACAGAATCATAGCATATCATATGTGGAAGAACTTAGGGGCCATTCTTTGCCATAGGAGGAAAACTGGGGCCCAGTAATTTATCTATATGCAGTTAGCTTGTGATTCTGAAATAAGATTAAGGCATTTTGATCCCTTGAGTCAGTGTCCATTGCACATACTTCTTATGGTTTGTTTAAATGATTTTAAACCTAAACACAGTAAAGTGTAAGAGAATTATCTTCCCTGTGGTTAGAACCTAACATATATTCTACACATGCACAATTAAATTGTAGTTTGAAAATGTTGCTGACACTGTTGTGAATGATTGACTTAAACTGTGACTCATAAGTGTTACAGCTACAGCCGTGTGGAGTGCATCTTGGGTGGGGTCCATACCTGAGGCACATGGGCCATGTGGTACAGGGCTCACAATCTCTGTCTCAGCTGCAGAGTCCTCAGGAGAGGACTGCAGGTCTTACCAGCGGCCCTTTCCACCCTGTGCTGTTTGCAGCTGGCAGTTCACTTGCACAGATCTTTGGGACGTGTGTGTGCATCGCTCTGGGGATCTCCAGCTGCTTCAGGCAAATGCTCCTGTACTGGTTCATCAGATTGCCCTCCACTCGCCAGCCCAGGGGATGGGCTTCCTTTATGTGGATGAAATTATTATTGCAGACACAAACCTAACAGGTGATCAGCACATCTGCTGTCCTCTATGGGCTTGTCTTCAAATTCCTGCCTCCAATTTCCCGGTAGAGGTTGCTGTTCTTTTAATAAGGAGGAGACAGATTATTTTCTACCTTGTCTGCCTGTTCTGCAAGTAAATGGGGCTAAAACTCCTGCCTTTCTCTCTAGCTAGTCCCTCATTTTCACCCATTTACCTCATTATTTTCTCTTTCTTCTGGTGCTTGTGCTCTTACTCCAGCTTTTCTACCTTCTGGTTGGGAAGCTTTGGTTTCCTCATATGTAAAATGGGTATAATAAGGGCTCTGCCTCATTAAATTACTATGAAGATTAACCACAGTTTGATAGAAAGCACTCATGATAGGTCCTAACCATAATCAGTGTTTAGTAAAATAAGCAATTATTAGTAATATTGTTAGGCCAGCAGGATTTTTCCATCTTTCCTAAAGTTAATTTATCTGTTATACTGAGTGCTAGAAGGAACACAGCCATACTTGCTTGGTCTTGTGTCTGATTTACAGCCCTCAAGAACGAGAGCAACACTGCAAGGCGGGCATATTTTTCTGAGAGAGTATCTTTGTCTTTGTCTCTGTCCACCGAGACTCCTCCTGATCATTGTTCAGGACTCAGGCCTGGCCCCCTTTCCCACAGAGTTTTGTTTGCCCACTCTTGGGTACAAAGTCCAACTCTCCTTGTCCACATCTCCTAGGGACAATATGCTCACCAGGGTCCCTGCTGGGAGAGCTCACATATATGTGTGATCAAGTGCTAAGAAAGAATGCTGCAGTTGGCTTTCAGGGGCTCTAGACTTCCTGCTGTTGCGTCTTTCCTTTTATGTTGAAGTTTTTTTGACTCTGGGGCTCAGCCTTCCTGTTTGTCATAGTTTTTCTCTCTCCAAGGAGAAAAAGATGATACAGTCACTTACATTTTTTTTTTTTTGTACTGGGGATCAAACTTGGGTCCTTGTGCTTGCAAGGCAGGTGGCACAACCACTAAGCTGAATCCCTGGCCCAGTCACTCACATTTTGATTTTAAAAAGTGTGCAACTTTTGAGCTTTTTGTCTAAAAATATCAGTTGTGAGGGCAGGGGAGCTTGGGGGTGAGTGGCAATAAAACTCTATCAGCCCTGGAATTGCATCATCTTTGATATTCATTAAAGTTCTGCCTCTTACTTGTTTCAGTGTTTTGGGGGCTTATAGGATTGCTTAATGTCCAAAGTCTGTGTACTGGTGTACTTAGAAAATGACACACTGTAAATGGCTTGCTGGGATAACCACCTGAATTTGTTGGCTCTAAGACAATTGGGGGAGGTTGGTGACCCCAAGTGCTGCCTAGATTTCTAGAGGGCAAAGGGATCAGTAGTCAATATTTCACGTATTTGAACCCACTGGCTGGAACACTTTAACAGATAACAAGTACCATTTCACTTTTTCCTCTATATCCCTTCACTGACATCCTGTCTGTCTAAGCCCTTACAGTCAACAGTCCAGAACATACTTTCCTTGCCCCTATCTTTGTTACCAAATGCTCTGTGGATCTAGAATCATCCAGGAGTGAGATGAAGAGGGGAGCTGGAATGGGAGGTTGGGCATAGAAAGAAGAATAGGGTTAGCTTGGATGAGATGTTTTGCCTCTCACTTTATCAAGTTTTTCTACTGGGAATGACTGTGTCATTCACATGTGCACACACACACACACACACACACACACACACACACACACAGTGTTGGGGATGAAAGCCAGGGTCTTAAACTTGCCTGGTAAGTGCTCTACCAGAGGCCAACACTCTCAGCCCAACAACTTTTTTTTTAAGGATTAGGTACTGGCAACATAAACTCTGTACAATTGGGCTCAAGTTCATGGTTAATTGTATGCCATTTATGTGATCAATGTAATAGTTATATTCTCTTACCTAATGTCCTCTATGGAAGTTCTTTTAAATCTAGCAATAGTTCTTATTGATGTTTTCATTTGGTTCTCAGAAGCCCATGAGATGGCCTGGTATCCTATTGTCTCCACTCTATGCATGAGGAAACCAAAGCTTAACAGGATTTTCTTTTAGCCCTTCACCCCCGCCCCCAACCAGTGCCCACAGCTGAGATGTGGGGGAGGTTAGAACCTAGGCATCACTGACAATCTAGCAGGACTTTCAAGGACTCTCTCTTCAGCTGAGCAAATCTTCACTTACTGAGCACCTATTCTGTGCTCAGTGCTGTGTTAAGCACTGGGTCTGCAGAGATGAATAAGACCAAGTTATTGTCCTTGACCTCTTTATAGTCTGAGCTATAGTTAGTAAGTCTTGGGAAAGATGCTGTCTTTTTACGCATGCCTAATACTTTAAGAGGGCAAAGGATGTTAAATACAAATTCCACTGCCCCTTTTTATTTCTCAGACTCACTAAGCTTCCTGCCATGTAGATTGCTGTCACCTGTGTGTTCACGATCTATAATTTGGATGAGAAACTGAGTCTTTGGGGCTTATGTTGATTAGCTGAGTGGGTACCCAACAGGAGTTGGAAACCAGGATTCGAACAGAGATGTTTCTGAAAGCTAGACTTCATTCTGCACACTCCACCCTTTGAATAAACACACAAGTACGCCTATTTTGTTCCTTGTGTGCTGAGTGCCCCCGAGGAGGAACAGCTGCACATCCCTAGAGTTGCCAGGGGTCATGGAAGGGAAGGAAGAATTGGGGCCAACTACACTGTGGCAGAGTATCCACTGTGACAGTGACGGCTCCAAGAGCACAGTTGGTGATATCTGGTGTATTGAACTTTGCTGTGGAATTGATCTTCATCTCATTAAATTATGACCTTGCATTTTCTTCGTGGTACTAAACCAAATGATGTGTCTCCTGCCTCCTCTCTTTACTTTATGTATCAGCAGATGGGTAGGAATCTATAGTTTTAAGTGCACATCTTCATCTCGAGTTACCCCATGCTAACTAGATCACTGGTCTCTAGTTTCTCAAGATGATTCTTCAACAGCTCGCCCCGGTGGAAATCTGGTGGAATCAGTCTCAGTGCTGGGATCCCACCCGGTCTACAGTGTAGCCTCCTGGGTGACAGGATGTGGCACGGAGCTCCCACTCATCACTTCACGGTAGGGAGTGACTCGCACACAGTTCCTCCTCAGGAACCATTGGCTGTGGGGACACAGAGGTGAGCCTGGGACAATAAAGCCACCTCTCTTATTGCTTGACGTGGGGTTCTTCTCTTGAGAATACAGCACTAGCCTCACCTGCAAGTCTTGTTAACACTTTGCTACCCCTGCACCACATTATCAAATGTAGTCATTTTGAGCAGGGTCTGAGAATTTGCAATTTTTTTTTGTATGGGGGATTGAGCTCAGGACCTTGCACTTTCCAGGCAGGCAGTGGAACCACTGAGCTAAAACTCCAGCCCTGAGACTTTGCAGTTTTAATGATTTGCCAGGTGATGCTAATTCTGCTACCGTTGGGACTACATTTGAGAACTAATTTCTATTGAATTTATTAAGAATATTAATTTTTATGCTGTTGAGAGCTTCATCTTAGCACTGTTTTCTATTTATTTCCCTCATTTCACTTCCCATATGTTGATTTTGTTGTAATTCGTTCAAGTGAAACACCGTTACCTAAGAAACAAAAATAATCATTTTGAGAACTCACCACCAGATGGCACTAGAGCCCCGTAAGTGTGGCTTCTCAAACATTTCTAGCCATACAGTGAAAAGCAGTAACTAAGGATCAGACTTCTTGAAGTCCCTGGAACACATGCATGCTTTAACTTATTCCTTTAAATTTTCACTTAACCCCAAGTAGGATTGGAAGAATTGAGACGTGGTTCTTTTTACATACGCACTGTGTGTGTACGTGTGTATGTGTGCTCCCTCATCCTTTTTCCTTTCTCCTATTTCAAAATGAGTTCTTATACCTACAGCATGCTGGGCAGTGTATTAAAGGCATGTAAAGAAATCTTGAATCTGCATTCCAATTTTATTGATTTAGTGTTTGTTTTGTGACCCTGTGGTCAGGAAAGATGCAAAAACCATCAATAGAGTAAAGAAGTGAGAAAATTTCAGTGGTAGAGAGGAAGCTACCATATTGGCTGGCTCTAAATGCCAGTTATTAAATCTGAAATGTCAGAGGTTCATTTAGGTTACTTTGAACAGGTTCACACTTAGAGTGGTCCTGCCAACCTTCCCTTCTGAGTTTTTCGAAAGTCCCTTGGCTCCTCTGGAAGCTGCGGACCTAAGCCAGGCAGGACGCTCTCTAGGTTGGCTTTTCCTGAGCATATAGCCCAGCCCAGGCAGTGTCACTCTGTCTGTCATTCCTCTGTGTGTTTAGGTTGCATATCAACATGCATTGTTTAAATAATACTCTTGACAGAAACTGTGTATATCCATTATGGAAAATTTGGAAAACATAAACAGATAAAAGATAAAAAAATCATAGTTCCAATGCTGGGATGATGTCTGTTAGCATATTTGATCTGTATACTAACTGCCTTTTCCCCAAGATATATATATATATATATATATACACACACACACACACACACACACACACACACACACACATATGGTTTTAAAACCTTATATTGGGATGATATATTATGTGTAACTTATCCTTTACACCTAATGGCATAGGTTGAATATTTCCCAAATTCATTAAATATCCTGCTGAAATGATTTCTAATGGTTTTCCTAGTCTACTTTGGCTTCTAGAACAAAGCAGCCCATACAAGTTATCTTATCAACAACAGATATTATTTCTTACAGTTCTGGAGGCTGGAAAGTCCAGTATCAAGGCTCTGGCAGATTCAGTGTTCAGGGAGGGCCTGTTCCCCAGTTTATGGATAGCGCCTTCTCATTGGGTCTTCACATGGTAGAAGAGAAGAGGATCCCTCCTTTGGCCTATTTTATAAGGACACCAATCCTATTCCTGAGACTGTCCTCATGGCCCAATCATTCCTCCAAAGGTCTCACCTCATAATGCTATCACCTTTGGGGTTAGGAATTCAATGTATGGATTGTGGGAGAACACAAACATTCCGACCATAGCAGTGGCCCCATAATATTCCATCTCATGCTGTATCACAACTTATTGGACCCACTTGTATGAAAATCAGGATCGGGCAGGCAGAGTCTGTACAGGGGAACTATATAAGAATGCAGAGGGGCCATGCTTTAGCTGGAGGTTCTGGATAAGGCAGTACCTGTGCACTAGGAAACACTAACTTTTTTTTGGAATAGGTAAGTGGTATTAGAGAAAACCAAGTTCTCTTTCAACACTACAGAATCATAGCTGTGGTGGCTAAGGTCACTTGTTGCTCTGGATCTCTGTGCTCTCAGAATCAGTGTTGAGTGAAGGGAAGATGCTCTTAAAGAATCCTAATATTCCTACTATACTTTTTCTGCTGTGACAGGAGGACACCCAGTATTTGGGAGCTGGGGCTCATGGCCTGGAAGCAAGGGTGATGGGTTGGTCTTTGAAATAGAGCTATGATATATTTGGATTGGCACATCTTGGTGGCTACTGTGGTTAATGTTTTGTTTTTGATACACCACAGCTCTGTACCTACTGAAGGAATGGAAGACTCTGAACTGGTTCAGGGGACAACACAAAGACTGCAGAAGACAAGCCCACCTTTGGGAGGACACTTTCGAATCCAGCTTTCTAATACAGTGATTCCTGGTAAAGGTGCAACAGTTCTTGTTTAAGTATCTAGGGGCATTCACAGGCAAACAAAGTCCTATGGCGTTGTCCGATAGGGTGACAGTTTTAAATTTGTAAAATTTATTTTCCAGTATCTGAAAATGGTCTTCTTAAAATTAAAGATGTGGAAAGGGATTTACATATTTATAATTCTAACCTTTAAATTTTGTACTTATGGATATTGAGTGGATTAGGTTTCTGGGACTTCATGATAAATTATGATAAAATTGGAGACATAAACTACAGAAATCTGTACCTTTCCAGTTCTGGAGTCCAGCATCCCATAATCAAATTGCTGAGGGGGCCACCCTCCCTCCAGGAGGTTCGAGGGCAGAACCAGTTTCCTGCCTCTTTTGGCTGCTGCTGGCTGCTGGCATTTTGTAGCTGTGTCCCCATCAGTCCACCCTCTGCTTCTGTCCTTTGTGAAACTTTCTTTCACTCTCTTCTGAGGATATACATGATTAATTTATGGCCTACCTGGGTAACCAAGGATGAACTCCTCCTAAGATCCTTAGCCACATCTTTTGCCACATAAGGAAGTAGTCGTTCTTTTGCCTTATAAGGTGACATTCATATGTTCTGAGGATTAGGACATAAGCGTATCTTTTGGGGGCCATCATTTAACCAGTTACTTTTGAGACTTGACCAAAGGCCACATAAGCCATTGACAGCAGGGGTGTGAACCTGTGTGTGTGTGTGTGTGTGTGTGTGTGTGTGTGAATGTCACATCAGTCCTCCTCTTTTCTCTAGAGTTATCTAGATGAGGGTCGGTGGTGGCAGTGTGCTCAGAGTTAAACTCAATGGTGACACCATATGCTGCTGAGGATTTCAGCAGTTTCCACAAAGGTAGAAAGAGAGTGCAGATGGAAATTATCATAGAGTTTTAAAATCTTCAGTAATACACGTGCTTCACAGAGGACAAGGATTAGGAGGGATAACAGTGTGTTACTTATTTGATAGAAACATTGGAGAATCAGAAAGGGGGCTCAGGGGAACTCACGAGCCGGTTGTGTAAAGATTCATACACGATCCAAATCCTCCCTCCCTGGCAGACGGACTAGGCTTACAGGGGATCTTCGTGGGTGGGAGACACAGAGGGATGCTTTTACAAGTGTAGGGAAACTTAGGACAAACTGACGGTGCCTCAGCTTTTGGGGTCCGATAAATGAGCAAGTGCCTATGTGCCCAGCCTCTCTGAAGCCCACCAATGGGCTGTGTGTCTCTTCTCACAAACAAGACAGATGATCTGTAGAGACTTTCTGGTGCCAAGTTTTATTGCTAAAGTTCCTCACATCACTGCCCACAAAACTCAAGGGAAGTCAGCCTTACCCGGCCTTTGAAATGGTGATGACCCAGATTATGGTATAACTGTAGCAAAGTATTTTTTAAATGACAAGACTTGTTTGCACTGCAGAAATATAGTGGTACTTTATTAATCTTTCAGGGCAGCATGGAATTCAAAAAGGCGGCTCTGGTCTAGGTAGAAAGCAACTTGGGCTTTAATCTAAACCTGTTGTACTGGCATTGCAAACTTTTGAATATCATTAGGGTTCATTTTCTTCATCTTTAAAGTAGGCAGTAGAGTACCCAAATAACCCACCTCACAGGGGTGTTGGGAGTTGCTAATGAAATGGAAACTTTTGGTAAAGCACGAAGCAGCGTTCAGACATAGAGGTTTGTTTTTTCTCTGTGGGTATGTGGAATGGGGAAGCAGGTGGTTGGGCTTAAAGGAAATTCTAATAGAGAAACCAAAGTTAAATGCCAACATTCCTCAGCTGGGTTGGTTAAGTTTTATGGGTGTCAGCTGCTGTGTGCCTCTTTATTCCTTGTGAAAACTGGCCAAGTTTTCTCTGTTCATAAGGCTGGCTAAAATTTTCCAGGGAAAAGCCAGATTTAATTAGATGTTCAGCCATTACAAAGGTGTCTGAAGTTTACAGTTTGAGTTGACAGTTGAGATTGTTTTGTCCGACATACTGTTTTCTCTGCTTGTCCTGTGATATGAAACTGAGGACAGGGTATTACAATGTAAAAAACATGGGCATCTGCTTGTATTTGCCTTGGGGAAAAGTGGAGCTAGGGCTGAAGGTTTTTTTGAAGTTATATTTTGACCTTGACAGTCTCCTTCAAGCAGATAACCCAGATTTTATACTCTTATCCTTGATGAGACGCTGCAAAATGGATTAATTAGTGCTTTTTGTTTTCTGTAATAAAACTTTCCTTCACAGATGTCCCTGTGCACATTTCTGCTGGTCACCTTCACAAGCTCTTACAGGACAATGCTGATGACTTCACATCTAGATACCTCAATGTCAGTGACTTCACTGTAAAGGAGGATGTAAACTCTTGCTATGAACATGTATGGACCCTTTCCTGGTCCACCCAAGTTGGGGACTTGCCCAATTTTATCAAGGTATGTATGGTGCCCTTTTGGTGAGACCAAATGGATTTGGTAATCTGGAGAAATTTTGTAAAAAGAAAACAGAATTATATGAGTGAAAACTGGCATGGATTATTCATTTTGTAGGAATGCTCAAGTAAAGGGAATTTATGATCTTTCTTTCTGGAAGTTTTCAACACATATTTTGTTTCTCATTCCCTCAATAAAGCAGTTTAACCCAATGTCTCCTTTCCTAACTGTGGATAGAGAAGTTGTTGGTCAGTGTCCACCACACAATAATTTCACATCTGTTATTGGATAATTTAAGCAGATGTGATTGACTTAGATGATCCTGGAGGCAGATGGCAAACCAGAAGGAAGTTTAGAAAAGAATTTGCTGTCTTTGGATAATGATGAAACCAGATGCTCTTGCATATTTAGGACCTTTAAAAATAATCTAATGATCATCTAGCATTTGATTATTATAAATGAGCCACAAGATGAAATTTTTTCCCAGTTATATGGTATTTTAGGTCATCTTATTTGCCAAGGAAATTTTAGGGTGAAGACAGAGGAAGCACGGGAGTCTTTGCTGTTATCTCCAAGCATTGTTTACTCATTTTATTTTAACGTGTTCAATTCAGAATTGAAATAAAAATAAGATAAATAAAATAGAGAAGCATCTGAATCAAAATAGCTCAAGACTTAGAAGATTGGTATGTTGTGTCTCTTTTGGCCTTTTCACTTGTAATAAGTACCCTGCTAATTTCCTGGTGCTTCTATTAGTTATTGCTTATTGTTAGTTTTCTACCTTTCAGTCTTTGTCACTTTCAATTTTACTTTCTAGCTCTCTGATTTGTTTCAAGCACAACGTGCAAACGCCCTTATCAATTATTTTAATCAAGAATAGATTTCTCCTTCATGACAGCTTACCAGAAATCTACCAATCCTAGGTCTCTGACCAAAGTCTTAGAGGGATGAATCCTTCTGTAGCCATTCGTGTGGTGTTTGATGGTGGAGTTTTCCTTGGACCCATATTTGGAGACATGTTGGCTGCTGCTCACCAGCATGCTCAGGTGAGTGGATGAGTCACCCAAAGTACAGGCACAGCTGCCACCTCACTGATTTGTAATGTGGGCCAATGACTTAGATCCCAAGGGTATGTTTTTCTACCTGGTAAAATGGGGTCAATTATGGTTTCCCTCTTCCTAACTTCCACTATATAAAGCACTATGAAAAAAATATAAATGCTTTCTAACTAGAATATTCTATTGCTATTGATTATATTATTATGGTGCAAAAATAGAGAACCTCTATAGCCAAACAGGATTTGTGCTTCCACACAATGGCATTGGAAAGTCAATGGGAAAATTCAATACCTTTTGCCTTTAAGAGGTCCTTTTCCTTTTTCCATCTGCTCATATTTCTATAATATTATCTGATTTTAATTTGAGAAAAATTTAAAATATAAAAAATGTAAGGAATACTAGTTTTTAGTTAGTGACACATGGGTATTCAGACTGAGAATTAGTTCTCAATGTTCTGATATGTTTGCACTTTTTATAAAAGCTATAAATTTTTACTTTTAGTGTACTCTTTATGAAAAATAGAACATTATGGATGAATTAAAGTGTTATTTATTATCTAAGCAATTCAACTCTCTTTCATAAGGAAACTTATACATATCAAGTGTGTTTTTAAGTCATTTTTTATATGTATAGATTTAATTCAGTTATATATTTTTCACTTTTCTCATTTCTGAGAATTGTTTGAGATAAAATTAGTTCTAGTAAAAGGGTGAGATATACAGTGTTTTCTTAAGGATTTGTCCCTTTAAAACAAAAAGGTCCCAAATCAAATGTCCACATACACTTTGGCCTTCAGCTATATATTCAAGTGGTGAAGGTTAAGGAAAGTCTCTATTTTATTGAACTTTATTAGCAAAGAAAGGGTGTTCCACATGAGATGGTGAAAATACAGTTGGAATGACCTAGTTGAAAGTACAGGGATAAATAGACTTTGTGCAGTTTAAGTTTATGAAATTTATTTCTAGATGACAGAGAGGAAATTTACTAAACTTTAGCATATTCTGCCATGTGTGTTGGCGTGCACCTGCAGTCCAGCTGGTTAAGGTAGAAAGTTCCCGAGTCTAAGAGTTTACGATCAGTTTGGGCAACATAGTGAGATGTCAAGTCAAGTCAAGTCAAAAAACAAAAGACAAGAAAAGAAATGAAAAATGATCTAGTGTATATAATTAATTGCATAAGTGGATTTCAGCATTTCTAACACCATTTTAAGAAACCTTAACCTGTTTTGAGTCATGCATTACAATTTAAGGTTTAGGACTGGGAAAAATAGAAGAAATAAATGAGAATAAGTGGACTATTCCCACATTTTAGTTTGGGAAATCTTTATGAGCATTTCATGGCTACCCTGTGTGCACGGGAGCCACATGCATTTGCTTTTAATTCTTTTGCTTTTTTTCAGGTGGTTGTGCGAGTGAATGATATACCGGCACAATGTCTGGGTTCCTGTTCTTTCCAATACCTCTCAGGGTCAACTCCCAGGGTCCATTCTGTATGGTGTTCTCTTGGTATGATTTGTGACTTGGTTCTGATCATCAATTTAGATTCAGTGATCTTGTTAGAGACCACGTCAGTCATGATGGGTGGGTAGAAGATGCAATAGTTCTTTAAGTGGAGGTTGAATGATGCAGCACAAAGTGCTTTGTTTGGTCCATCTAAGAGATATAATTATTATTTGAAATGGGGGAAGTAGGTTTTTTTTTTTTTTAAACTTCAAGTGTTTTATTTTTCCTTGTTCCTTATTTTAAAATATTCTCAATTTTCTCTTTCTTTCCCAATGACCTCTCATAAGTAGTTTGAAAAAATTTAAAATGGAGGCTGTTCACTACAATAACAAATGCAGTTGTCTAATATTTGAGTCAGCATTCAACTCTCTGAATTTTGGGAAGAAAAGATGAAAGAGACCAAATGTTTGATGTTAGAGCAGGATCTCTTAAATGGAATTATATCACAGAGATGGCTTTGTTTCTAAATTTATTTCTTCCTTTTAGATGGTGACACCAATCCACTGGTTTATATCACTGGAACTGGTTTTTCTGGTGATTCCCAGTCCTTACAGGTTACAGTGAATGAAACAAGTTGCAAAGTTATTTTCTCAAACCAAACAACTGTGGTGTGTCAGACAGACCCATTACCAGTGGGAGTGCATCAGGTCTCGGTGTTGGTGAAACCCTCTGGTCTAGCTGTCAATGCCAGTGGAGATGACCTCCTCCTATATGTGGAACCCAGACTGGATGCTGTGGAGCCTTCGCAGGCTGCAGAGATTGGTAATCTGCACATGACTTCTTATCCTCTGAATCTAGTGCTCTTGCCAATGCTCAGGGATCTTGTCCTGCAGGGTAGCCGATTCCATGTATACTACACTCCAAAGCTCTTATTTACTACTACTTCTAATAGGCAATAGTCATTTAAGGCCTGAAATGAACTCACTGTCATGTAAAAGGCTATAGTTTGGCTGGTCGTGTCAGACATAATTGGTTAGGGTGCCAAACATTGAGTCTATTAGCCTAATGGAAATGATGCTAGACTGAGAGTTAGGACATATCCCTGGTCTTTGGTCCTATCGCAAGTCACATGTGTGACCTTAACCCTAACCCTAACTCTAAGTTTCAGTTGCTTCTACAGGGCTTAGTCTTAAAAATAATAATGATAACAGCAATGATGTCATTTATTGTGTACCTCTTTTAAGTGGTCACACATCCTAAATATACTTACAATTACCCAAAAGATAGAATTATTGTCCACACTTTTCAGATGAAAGAAAGCTGGTTCTCAGAGGAAAGTGACTTACTTAGAGCTTCATCTGGAAGGCATTGGAGCTAGAGTTCACCCAGAATGCTGTGATGCCCCTGGTGCTTCTCTGTGTAACTTAGAGAGTAGCTTAATGGTAGTTTCTTTGTAGGCTCCTTGGCGTGAGAATGAGTCAACAAACTGGAAAGTTCCTTTAAAACAGAAAACATTTAAGCAATGTGAAGTATCAGCCTTTTCCACTGACCAGGAACTTTGTACCCTAGTTGGCCCTTCACAAATGTGCATTAGCAATGTACTGATATATATTACGTAAAGATGATATACACTGGGTGCACACTGGGTGTTGGGTAACGTGCAAGCCAGCTACTGTGTGAGTAGTGGGAAGGCCAAGACAGAAAATCTTGTCCACATCACCCCCATACGTGTGTCTTAGTTGCCTATGAAAGACTTGAGGTTTCTTCATGACTTTCTGCTTTGTAAGGGACACATTTAACTTAAAGTAGGCCAGCTAGACTTCAAGCATCTCAGGAATACAATACTCAAGCTTGTGTTTGCTGGTGTGTAAGTTTTGCACCATAAACTCGTTTCCTTAGTATTTTAAATTTTTGTAACTGTTCTGGTGGCCAGAAACCTGTAGCTCAGAATCTATTTTAAATCAGTGTACTTTGGTTCACAAACTTATTGTTCAAAGGAAACAGTTTGCTTCTGACAGTAGAGTAAGAGTAGATAGTGTGAAATAAGGAATCATGCGGTCCACCCTACCTTGTCTCTGCTTAGGAAACAGAATAAGCTCCTATTTCTCAATGATTTATGGAAGGAGCCTGATATGTGGTGCTCATAATGAAAGGTCATACCCTGTACTAACCTAGTAAGTATTGGTTTGAGTTTAGGGCTCATAACATTCTTCTGATTTAATTTATGAGTGGGTTAGTCTTCTCACTGTGTTACTTTTGCAGTTCTTGGCACACTAACCTCCTTCAGGTCCTGCCACGAGATTGGTGTCTGGCACATACTTCCCTACACAGAGTGCTGCACAGGTAGGGGGATATCTGTCCCAGCTTGTGCCAGACTGAGGGATACCAAGGATGCAAACCAGCATGCAGAACTCTTAGTTCTAAAAATCAGTCCCAGGAAAAATCAGACTGAATTGATCATTTTATCAGGATGTGGTCTATCAGTGATACACAGTGAAAGGATTTGAAGTTGTGGGAGGATCACACATCTTCTTATATTACAGCCAAAGGTTGAAACTCAGAAGGAATAATTCCAGGTGGGTGAAAATTAACTTTATTAAGATTAAGGAGAAGGCAGAGAGAGAGAGAGAGAGAGAGAGAGAGAGAGAGAGAGAGAGAGAGAGAGAGAAAGAGGGAGATATGCTGTAACTACTGTTTTCCTTGTAACTGCATTTAAACTTTCTCTGTTAACTCTGCCACCTAGAAAATGGACCATTGTTTGTCACTTGCTCAAAACTAATTGTACTACCCTGTACAGATCCCTGTGCTGGGTGCTGAAGATCCTGGTGCATAAAGTGTGGTCCTGGGCCAGTGGTGTCGCTATTGGCTAGGGCCTTGTTAGGAAGGAGTGCAGGGTTTCAGGCTCTAACCTAGACCTCTGAGTCAATCTGCATTTTAATAGGATCCTCAGACAGTCTCCTATCAGTAGCATAGTTTCTGGCTTCTCTGCTGTGGGTGATTTAAAGAGTCCCATTAACCATGCTGAGGCCCATTAACAAGAAACTTACGGATATGAGTGTATAATGAATATAGTGATCAATAGTATTGGAAATCACCACTTGCCCATATGCTGACTCACTCAGGGCTTTTAAGGACACCTGCGGCTTTGCCTTACATATTCCCTTGGTAGCTTTTGTGCTCTGCATAGAGTTGTCTCTCCCAGTCTTGGCCCCTGTAAGGCACCTCATGAAGGGAATGGGTTGCAGAATGATGAAGCGCTGGTTGTGATAGGATGACCACTGGCACTGGAGGAAGGAGATGGGAAACAAGGATAACGTGAAGATGTGAGGCCTGAGGAAATCTTGGACAAGAGAAATTGAGGCAGAAGGAACATCAAATGATGTCCTGAGTCAGAATGAGTTCAGTTTGTTCCAAGTACAATAAAGAGGGCTGGAAGAGATTGAGCAAGGGTAGAAGGTGGGAGATGACTAGGAGCAGGTCAGATGGCCTTAGAGCTATGAAAGGATGAAATAAAGCTTTTGTTCTGCAGGTGACATGGGCCAGTGGATTATAAGTGGAGAGACATGATCTGACTTAGGCTGTAGGAGGAGGATATACCGTGTAGAGGCAAAGATGGAACCAGCCAGATCAGCTAGGAGGCCAACTTTGGCTTGGACAAGGGCAATATATCTTAGAAACTGGTAAAGCTGCCCTATTTGTTTTTTAATGTCATGGTTGTCTTTTTCTTAAAATTAAAAAAAAAATTAACACATAATTCCCCTGCCATAGTATTTACTTTAAAATAGTATACAATTTAGTGGTTGTACACCTCACCACTAATTCAAGAACATTTTCATCATCCCAAAAGGAGCCCTGTACTCACTGATAGTCTAACTATTCCTTCATCTTTTCAATTTCTGTCTCAATACATTTTCCTCTTCTAGATATTTGATATAAATAGTCATAAAATATGTAATTTTTGTGTCTGAATTCTTTACTTAGAATAATACTTTTAGGGTTCATCTCTGTTGTAACACGTAATATTATTTCAATATATATTATACATAAATAGTATTCCATTTTATGGGTATACCACATTTTGTTTATCCATTTATCTCATGATGTGCATTTAAAGTGTTCCTACGTTTTGGCTATTATGAATAATACTACTTTGAATATTTATGTACAAGGATTTATGTGGATACAAGTTATCAGTTCTCTTTGCTAAGAGTGGAATTGCTGTAACATATGATAACTAACTTCTTTGGGAATAGCTTGTTTCCAAAATAGCTATATGAATTTACATTCCCACTTGCAATACAATATTTTCACATTTGTGTCAACACTTCTTATTCTCTTTATCACTCTCCTCCTTTTCATTCTTTCTTTTTGAGAAAAGGATCTCACTATGTTGCCCAGATTCATCTAGAACTCTTGAGTTTAATTGATCCTCCTGCCTCAGGTTCCCAAGTCCTGAGTCTATAAGTGCATGTCACCACACCTGACTCTTATTTTCTTTTTTTAAAAAATTTTATTTTTATACTAGCCATTTTAATAGTTGTGAAGTGACGTTCACTGTTGATTGATTTGGTGTTCCTTGGCTTGTAGAATATTATCCTCACCTCTTTCTTTATCTCTACGTGACTTTCCCCCTGTGACTCATCCATGTCCAAATTTCCCCTTTTATTAGGCACACCGTCATATTGGATCATGGGCCCACCTTATTCCAATATAACTTTGTTTTAAATCAAGTAAACAAATCTGCAAAGATCCTATTCCAAAATAAAGTTGAAATTTGAATACTGGGCATTGGGAAATCAATGTATGAAATTTTTTGGGGAAGTTGTAATTCAACCCCAAACAGGATCCAATTTTATTCTTATGTGTATAAGTATAAAATGGTCTCATTTTGAATATGTGTAAAAATATTAGCAGTATAACTTATTAAAAGTGGAATTGCTGAATTAGGAGATTATATATACTTTAAAAAACTTTGATTAGTATATAATAGTCTCTTCAGAAGTTGCATAATTTACTTTTTATGTGTATATGAGTATCTGTTGACCAAATTGTTTTAACAAAATGTTTTCAAACTTTTTCATACTTATCAATCTCATAGGAGAGAAACAACATTTCAGGGTTGTTTTAATTTACATTTTTTTATTAAGAGTGAAATCATATCTTTTCATGTGTTTAAGAAAATTATATTCTTTTCAGTGAACTGTCCGTTCATCTTAGTTTCATTTTCTAATTGGATTATTGTTCTTTTTCCCTGATTTTTAGGAATGTTTTATGTATTAAGGGTACTATGTCTGTATATATTTGATCATTTGTCACTTTTTACCATTTTAAAATTCCTAAATAACTTAAAATTTTTATTTGATATAATCCGTCTTCCTTATATATACCATTAGGGTTTGCAAAATACTTAGCATGGACTTTCTGCCTGAGAAATTGTATAAAAATTAAAATTCTGCCTGTTTCCTTTTAGATTTTTGTACTTTTGTTTTTATGCTTAAATATCTGACCAGTGTGGAATTTGACAGAAGATGTGGTAAAAATTCAGATTTAATTTTTTGTTGTTATTTGCTTATTTTAGTACTGGATATATAACCTATTTATGATGCACTCAGGTAGAATAAATGTTTATCACATCCCACAGCTCCATATCCCTATTTAGCTGTATTTATTTTTGGAAACTGTTCCATTAACCTCTCTGTCTGAGCATGCTCTATTATTACATTTTAACTCCAGTTTTTAAAAGATATTTCAATGCCTGGCAGAAGACCCCTTTACTCTTATTTCTGAAATTTTGTTTTCTGGGTATTCTTTCATTCAATTTTGAAACTTTCTTGTCTAATTTAAATTAAAATCTATTCATATTTTTATTGGGATTGCATTGATATTTATGTTTAATTTAAAGAAATTATGATGATCATTCTACCCATTTATCTAGTTTCATTATCTAAGTTTTAAACAATTCATTAAACTCTGTATTGTCAGTTTATTTCCAGATATTGTATCTTTTATATAAGTATTGTAAGTTAACCTTTTTCTATTTTATTCTTTAACCTAGAAGTCTAACGCAACCTTACATTTACTCTTTACTCAGGACAGTCTTTCAGTCACATGTTGCAAATGTTGTTGTGGGCTGTGTTAGTCGTCTCTCTTCTCTACTGGACATCATTCTTCCTCCTCCTTCCTGCTCCTCTCTTCCCCTCCCCATCCCCCTTCTCTCTCTCTCTCTCTCTTCTCTCTCTCTTTTTGGTACTAGGGATCAAATTCAGGACCTTGCACTTGTAAGGCAGGTGGGGTGCAACTGAGCCAAATCCCCATCCCACTCCCTCCTCCTCCTTCTTTGTTTTTTGTTTTTTTGAGATAGGGTCTCACTATGTAGGCAGGGCTAGCCTTGAACTTGCAGTGATCCTCCTGCCTCAGCCTTCCAAGTGCTGAGATTACAGGTGTGTGCTTCACAACTGGCTCTCTTCTTGCTCCTGCTTCTTTCTCATACTCAGTAATACAAGTCTTATTTTGTGGCCTTCACTACTCCCTTGCGTTATCTCCTGGGGAGAAGGCAGGCTAGAATCATTTTCCTCTTCAATACCAAGTGAGTTTTCTAGGGGGCCATGATGTTGCACTCAGTCCCAGAGTTCCAGACCAGTCTGGGCAGCACAGAAAGATTCTGTCTCAAAAACATAAAAAATGAGTTTTCTGTTCACCACCTAGACCAGGGCTGCTTCTCCACATAAGAAAATGTGCTGTGGTGTCTGTAGGATTTTGGCATTGTCTCTCTTCTTGCTGACATCTGCAGTGAGGACATGGCAGTGGCTGGGGCTGCCTTCGGTGGTCATCAGAGAAATCCTGTGGCCCTGAGCGGCCCTCATGTTGAGTGGAGCCCAGTGTGTATACTATCAGGTCGTCCAGCTGGAAGGGCAAACACCATCATTTGGAGATGAGGAAAATGAGGCCTGGTTAGCTGGAAATACTACAACAAATGACCTGATTTAATCTTCCCATCACACTCTCCTATACTTAGTCTCTCAGGAATATAGCACATTTTATAGGACTGGCAGAAATGATGTTTTAGAGTTTAGAGCAGAAAGAATTTTTAGACACTACTTCTCTGACTCTTGCCAATAGTGTATCCTTATGATTCTTAAAGGTCTCCAGGATGAGTCAGTAGTTTTTCTGCCCTCTGGTCACCATTTTTTCCTCTCTATGTATGGTAATTTATATATTTCAATTCAGCACCCCCCCCCAGTTTGACTATTTCTGTGTGTCTTGACTAAAAAGTTTTATATTTTAATTTTATTTTTTCTCTCTTGTGGATGATTAATTGCTGTCATCCCATAGGGGTGTGGGTCCTGTATAAAAATGCTACTTTTGTTGCAGGAGGGCTCTGGGCCACCATCCGAGGCTGTAGTTTGGAAGACGTTAGTCTTGTGTTATTTGGATCCCAGTCTTGTGCCATCAACGTCACTACAAGAAATTCACGAAGAATTCAGTGCAAAGTTCCACCCAGGGTAAGTGGAATTCTCTGGTCATATCTTTCTGTCTGGGTGGGCAACCATTATTAACATAAGGTTTTCAGCAAATCACTTAGGACTGAATTAATTGACATGAACTTCTCATTAAGACAATGTGCTTTTATTATATATATTGTCTATTTTGCTGTGAAGGGGGAGACTGTACTTATAGGGTTTTTAATTAATGCAAGTTGATTTCTTTAAAACCAGAGCAGTTTTTATTAGCCAGCTTGTTTGTTACTAGCCGACTACCTGGCATACATGACCTAAAAGAGAAAAGGATTATTTTTGCTCACAATTTCAGAGGTTTCAGTCAATGCTTGGCTGGCCCCAAGCCACAGACATCATGGCAGAAGAGCATGGCAGAGTGAATCCATTCACCTCATGATGATTGGACGCAGAGAGGGAAAGAGAAAGAGCAGGTGAAGCTAGAGTGAGAAGGGCGGGTTTGCAGACAAGAATACATCCTTCCAGGTCCACCCCAGTGATCCACCTCCTCCAGCCAGGACCACACCTCCTAACTGCACACCTAGCTATGACGTCATCGCTGGAGTAACCCACTGATGGGTGTAGCTCCTCGTGAACCAATCACCTTCCAAAGCTCCACCTCTGAATGCATCAGACCTGTGGGAGACATTTTAGATGGAACCTTAACACTGTCCTAGTCCATACTTTCAGTGAATATTAATTCCGCAGCATAAACAAGTTCATCCAGTACACATTTTGGAGGTGGCTTACAAAATTTATATATCTTGCAATCTTTGTTTCTTAAGCACATGGCCGCTTTTCAATAGCAATTTTTGCTGTTTTCAACAACAATTTTGTTTTCTGGCATGGATATAAGTGATGGAACTTAGAAAATTCTACAATGACTGATTCCTATGAAATTTCTTTCTAGTTATTCTCTGCAGCTTCCCTTTCCCCTTAAAGGTATATCCCACAGAGCTTGGTGGACCATGCCTATAACCTCTGCCCTTGGGAGGCTCAGGCAGGAGGATGGAAGAGTTTGGGGCCATCCTAGGCTACATAGTGAGTTCAAGTCCATCCTGAACTACATAGTGAGATTCTATCTCAACAAACAAACAAACAAATAAGTCTCCGAACTCTCCTTTCTTTTCTATTTCATGTGCCATTGAGGGACTTGAATTGGGCCCTTCCCTGGTGCACTGGTGAAAATCACACTCAGATGCATCTTCACCTTCTGTTTGGCATATCTGTCAGTGTTGTCAGCATTCTGAATACACCCTCGGCTCCAGAAGACATATGTATACTGAATACATAAAGATCCCCTGAAACACAGAGTCCAGAATACCTTTTGACCACTGGTCCTTCAATTTCACCTTATCTAGTTCCTTAAATATTATGAAAAGCTAGCTTTTCTATATAAATTACATGCAATTCCAATATATAGTTATACTGTAAATTGTTTACCTATTCCTTATTATTGGGAATTCTGGTAATTTTAAAATTTTCTCTCTATAAACAACATAAATTTGATCATCCTAAAAACTACATTTATGAACACATTTCTTTTCTTTTTTTTTTTAACTGGAGATGAGCAGAAGTTTATTGGTACATTTTAAGTATACAGTACAGTTACATTCGTCATTGGGATCTTGTACCTTTATATGATATATCTTGGTTCTTATTTTTCCCCATACCCTACCTTCCCTTCTCTCCCTCCATCCCTTACTATTTACAAAGACTTTGTTTCCATTTTTTCCTTTTCTCATAGTTTTTCTTTTCCCTTCTTACCTTTCCCCTACCCCTCCCGTTTCCCCTACTCCTTTAGACCTTTTCTTTCTATTACACAGTATCAATTACACATTTTGATTCTTAATTTACACTTTTTCATACCAGAGAAACTATTTGGTATTTACACATGTGTTCTATTAATTTCACTTAATAGTATGACCTCAATGTGCATCCATGTTGCTTTAAATGTCCCTAGTTTCTCATTCTTTATGGCTGAGTAGTACTCCATTTTATAAAAAAACCACATCTTCTTTATCCAGTTTCCAGTTGGTGGGCAATTGGGCTGTTTCCAAGTTTTTAGCTATTACAAACTGTGCCTCTATAAACACAGCTGTACATATGTTGCTGTGGTATGATGATTTTAAATAACTCAATATCAGTCAATGAAATTGAAGAAGTAATTATAAAACTTTGTTTTCCTTAACATGTCTTTTTTATTATAAAAATTTACCACCTTTAAAAAAAAAAAGTTCCATTGTGTAAGTTGTTCTTTTCCTTGAAGCTCTGTTTTTCCTGCTGCAGTCTAGCTTGGTTATTTTCTAAGTTTATTATATAGATTTCATCTCAGTACTTCCCTTGATTCCTCCTATGTGTACATTCACTGTTCTTTGAAGTGCATATCCTCTTCTTTTTTGTTACTTATCTATGAGAGTATAACCTTCAGAAACATTCTACAGAAGACAACGTGGGAAAAATTTTTCTGAGTGCTTATATATCTGAAATTACTCTTATACTTGACAGATAGTTTAGCAAGGTATTGATATTTATTTGAACTTGCCTTATCTTTTCAAAAGCAACTGATGGTTAATTGCAAACCATCCTTATTTGCTTTTTAGAGCAGATCCTTCTGCATCTGTTCAAAATAGCAATTGCCTAATTTAAGCTCTTGGGACTGTATGTGGAGCCTGTAAGTCACAAATAGAACCCTTTATCAACTAATTTTATATGGACTTTTTTTCCTCAAATAAAACTGAAATTTGATCTTAAAAATTGATATTTCAGGGGAAAGATGGTTACCTTGTGAATGTGACTGTGTTCAGCAGGGAACATTCTGCAGTTCTTCCCAGATCATTTGCATACATTGCTTCTTTAAATCCAGTGATTGTGTCTCTAAGCAGAAACAGAAGCAACATAGCAGGTAAAATATGATGCTACTTGATCTTTTTAAATTTTAGAGCACTGATCCTATAAAAGCTTAATCCATGGCCTATGAATTTTATTGCGTTTTGAATAGGTTTTTGTTTCTGAAAACCAGAAGACTCGTTTTTAATGTTAGCTGTCATTGAACTATTTTTATATCTGTTTTTCCCTCTGTAAAATTTGGATGATTTCCATGCTGAAAATGATGTGGGAATTCAAAGGTAATAATTCAATAAATACTTAATGAGTACCTAGTATATGCTAACTATATCATAAACATGCAATAGACTTTAATCCTGACATAAATTTATAGGATCAGTAACTTCAGTTTATAGATAAGGAACCTCTGGAATAAAACAAGGTTTCTAAAATACCACCAGTAGTAAGCAATAGAGCTCAGACTGGAACACAGGTAGTCTATTTGCAGATCCCAAGCATTTAGCCTCTTGTGGTTAAATATCATTTTTTGGCAGCCGGTTCCATTGTGTGATTATTTAATACAGTAAGAGAATAAAGTGTTCTAAATTAAGAATGAATCTTTTATGTAAAACAAGATTTTTTAGCATCAACTACATGAAATAATTTAACCTTTATTTAGTGATCTAGGTGATACAATGGGATGGAATTATAACAATTTCCTGTCATGACATAACAATATAGATTTGGAAAAGTAGCAGGTAATAACACATTTCTGGTTAATTGAATGCCAGATAATAAAGAGCTAATGGCAGCCATAGCTAAGGGTTCATTATAAAAACACCATCATATTTCCCAAAGAGAAAGCTTTAACTTAGTTTTTCTGGTACTATTTTCATTTTCTATAGCTCAGGAGTACATAAATAAAAGGAAGTGTCCTTTAACTTCTCAATATTATTCAACTCAGAAGAGCAGCGCAGAAGAAGAATTTGCTGCCTCAGGCGACCAAAGTGTGTAAAATTCCCTAGTGGTAAAGACTCTTCCCAGTGAGGGAAGAGAGGGAAGAGAGAGCTCTATGTGATATTCAGATTTTGGTGATTTTAGCTTTTAATAGAATTTTCTACCCATAAGGAAAAGGATAAATACCCTGCGTCAGTGCCTCAAAGGCGTCTAAGATTAGCTTGACAATTGCCCAGAGCCTAAGGGATTTATGCTATTGATACATACAGTGCAATGCATTCTTTGTGGAACTTCACTTTTATTTAAAGCCTCCCATGGGCAGAACAAAGAAGAACATGTCCTAAAAGCCACAAAACGTGGTAGCCTTTTGGGGAAGTTTCATAAGCTGACATCTTGGTATTTCCATCTAGAGATGATGTTGACAATGGCTGTGAAGCCGAGGTAGAACGGAATCAACAAAAGAGGAATAGGGAGGAGGGGGGAAGAATGTGATGTACAGGACCATTAGTGCTAGTTTTTGTAATTAGAAAGAACTCGATCTTAATGAATCCAAGCTTGACCCCTTGTCCAAGTAAAAAAATTGATACATTAATTTTTTTTTTTTTTTTTTTTTTTACTGGGAATCAAACTCGGGACCTTGCACTTGTGAGGCAGGTGGCGGAATCAGTGAGCTAAATCCCTGGCCCTTGATACACTAAATTAACTATTTGAGTAAAAAGTGTTTTGTGAAGGTGGCAGGCCTCAGAGCCAGAAGAACTTCCCAGAGCTTTGCTCTTCAATATAGGCAGACAGCATGTAGAGACAAAATGAGGTACAGAAATAGCTTGGTTGATGGGAGGCTGAGGCAGGAGGATTACTGTGAGTCTGAGCCTGAGCCCAGCCTGGGCCTGCATAGTGAGTTCAAGGCCAGCCTGTAACATATAACAAGTTGGAAGCCAGCCTGGACTACATACTGAGACCCTGTCTCAAAGGTGGCGGGGGGTGGGGGGAATGGAGACAGAGGATAAAAGAGAAACAGCTGGGTTGGTTACATTTAGACGTGAACATGGTCTGATGGCTTGAAAGCCTGTAACTGGCTGAAGCTGTACTGTTCTGAAGGGCTGAGACTCAGCTAGTTGTTACAAAAAATATACTCATAAGTTTCAGTGTGTTTGCTACTGAGTTAGGTTATTCTTTATTATACCTTGGGACTCAAGGTATAGGGGCAGCCTCAGGCCAAATTTAGTTTGATTCAGCATGCAGCCATAACCTTCCAGAGGTGGAGAAGACACAAAGAAGTAAAGAGGATGAGAAAGTGAGAAAGAATAAAAAGTTAATTGAAATCTTCTTTGTATTCTGCAACATTTCTTCTTTCCCAGGATATCTAAGTTAATTTGTACACCAAACCATATGGGATGGACTTTATTGCCATCTTATTTATGAAAAGTTCGAGTCTTTGAAAGTCCAGAGTAAGTCCCCAAGAGACACAGAGATGGTTAAATGGCAGACCAAAGATTTGAGTGCAAAGTCACAGTGTTCTAATCACCTCACACCCCTCTTTTTTGGCTTTTCTCTTTTATACAACCTCTCTGCTCTTCATCTAATTGGCCATGCCTTGTAGAAATGCCCGCTCTGCCAAGATCCTAAAGTATCAGGGGCTAAATGAACATCAGAAACACTTTGCCCTTGAGCTGTAGACACACTGGTTCTACTCCTGCTGTTGCCCTTAGTTAACACTAGTTTTCTGCAGACTACAGCTCTTCTTTTATATTTTTATTTTATCTTATAGACTAGAAGAATAGCTTCAATTATGTTGTTTCTTTGCTTAGAAACCTTTGAGATCTCCCCTGTCCACTGAATTAAATAGAAACCTTTCAGAATTATTAGCTGTTCCTGTGCTCAGCCACAGAACTGCCACTGACCTAGTCCCATGGAATCCCTACCTGAGTCTATACATATTTTGTCTTACAGAAAGTCACCAAAGTTTCTCTTTTCCAGACACTAGATAATTAAATGAAGAAGTACAAGACTTTAGAAAAAAAAATCATGCAAGTTTAAAAGTTGAATCATAAGTCCCAATTTCTCTTGGGCTTCTATTTCAAATTAAAGTTCAAGTACTGTCCTGCCTTTGCTATAAAGGCCTTTCCTTCAGCATAGTGCTCTGATTTGAACCATCCCCTAGCTTAAAATTTCCTTGTCTTAGGATGTCTTCCATTGATTTGATTTTCTCAGCCATTCTACTAACTTTGAGTTCTCTTCGAAGGCCTGGTTTGTGTTATTTTTTTGTCCCCTGTAGCATCGTCTTCATGGGATTCAGTAAGTGTTTGAATTCAAAGGAATTTAAATTCATTGTTCATAGTATATACAGCATTTTTATAGCGTTGCTAATCACACTAAAAGCTATTGAAATAAAAAACAGAGGATTGGACTTTGGCCTTGGTTCTTCTATCAATTACCTGGGAGCCTTCAGTGGCTGAGCCTCACTTTCCTTGGATGAAACGCAGTCGCGTTACCTGGGCCATGTATATCATCAGGACATGGGAGGAGCGATGTGAGAAAGCTCATCAAAGTGCTCTGAAAACTGAACTCTGGGGCACACATAGGACACAATTAAACGATCTGGCGCACACTGGAGATACATGTTAGACTTCTGTCTGTAGAAAAGTGGAGGTTTAAAAAACAGATACAGGGATTTGCTGGTTATGAAGACCATTAGCCTTACAAACCAATTCTCAATTTGCCTTTACATAGATGTATATGTTAGTGCCTCTTGAGTACAATTCCCCGACAATTTTGCTTTTTATGTCATTGGGATTTTAGGCTGTTGTTCTGTAAAAGAGTTGTTAGAAATTTCATTAAACTGAAGCTGGTATTAAAGCTCTTAATTAGAATGTGAATGTACATGTGTATTATTGGCCATGTGTTTAATCCTAAGAGATGGCATTAGACTAGAATGGTGGGTGAGGCCAAAAACCTACATCACTGGCATAATAGACTTTTGTCTGTGCAGGAGGTGAGACCCTTTTCATTGGAATGGCCCTGCTGGAAAACTACACAGATCTGGATGTGGAAATCCATGTCCAGCACACCTTGGTTCAGGTTCACTCACAGACGGCTCAGGGCCTACAGGTGGTGCTGCCCCCACTGCCCGCGGGCCTCCACAGACTTTCAGTCTCCATCAATGGCATCAGCATTTGCTCACAGGGGTAAAGTGGATGCTTGCTATTCATTTTGTGTCTGTCTGTTTGATAGTCTGATGAGTCATTTGGGGAACACTCTTTTGAGTTAGGTCCTTTTCCTTTTTTTTTTTGAAGTGAGGGGATAAAGACATGAAAATTATGATATTTGAACAGATCCTGGAAACCCTACAGATAGTTTACTCATGAGACAAATGCGGAGATTTTTCTTTTACTACTTGGCAAAAGGTGGACTTTCTGGAGCTTGGTTGGAGTGGAACTATGGTATATATATAAACACATACACATATTTGTGTATATATGTGTATATGTATATATCTGAGGAAGGGAAGTCTCTGCTGTAATTCTTTGTTGGGTTGTGCCTTGGGCTTTGAATATGTGGTTTACAGTGATTATAGACGTCCTCACCTTCCTCTTTGTCCTAAGGTTCTTGGCTTGGTATTTTTCTAGATTTTTTTTTACGAGTTCTAGAAAGTAAGGAAACTGTATGGGATTGATATCCCCACATATGACTGGCCCAGAAAAGTACCACACACAAAGTCTTTTCTCCACCATTTTCTTTTTCTTCTCTGTAAGGCAGTATATCCGTACTCATTTCCATTATTGCTCCAGTTCTCCTTTCTCCCTGAAATACAAAGATATCTTCATTCTTGCTCTTTTCTCTCTCTGTCTAGCTCTTTTTATTTCCTAACAATGTCCCTGCATTCTGTAGGGTTGTTCTCCACATCTGGTACGTCACAGAAGTTTTCAGCATCGAGCCTTGCTGCGGTTCTCTTCTGGGTGAGTGGTTTTGACCTCTCTAGTATCTTTATCTGGTGAGTCTATTCATTGAACATTTAGATTTTGTTCCTGGATTAATTAGCTGGTGAGGCACGGACAGAGGCAGTGAGAAGGATTTGTTTAGGCTCCATGAGCTGAGTGTTGCCCTTAAAGGTATGAAAACGTGGTGATACCTAAACCCAAGGAGCTCAGGAAATTAAAGGGAATTTATAAACTTGAGATGCACCTGATTTTCTATTAATGGAAAGGTTGAACATCAAATGGGCAGCACTATTGAGCAGATATTAGGGAAATAAGGGGAGAGCTTCCTGTATTAACATTTTAGACATTGCATGTGCAAAGGGAAGAAATGAATCTTTGGTGTCTTTACTTTCCCCTAGGGATGCAGATGATGGAACAGGAATAGTCAGAAAGACAAATACCACAATGAGAGGTGTAAAGAGAAGAAATATAGAGCAATCATTAAAACTATTCATTTTCAGAAAAATGTAAAAGCTACATATTGGCGTATGAATAATGGTTATGAATGCATAAAGTAGCACATTATCCTTTTTAGTATAGGAAAATCCTTATTAAAACTTGTTGACAGTACCATAGATTTGTTTATAATATGGGTTATGTTGCTCCAAACTCTGTCCTAAAGGTGGGGTTTGAGCTTTCATCATCTCTCAACTAGAGAATGAGACAATGTGCAGGAATGGAACAGCAAACTCGTCAGCAAAATTTAGTGGCTTTTGATGCTGCATATATATAGTGTAGAACATATCTGAATATATGATATTGTACATAGAATGCTGGAACATTATTTAGAATAATATGGAAGATAAATAGAAGACCTTGATGAATTTTATTACTGTAGCATGTCAGTTGAATGCATATAGAATTGTATATGTATACTGCACTTAATAATCTATAGACTAGATGACAAGAAGACTAAAGCATTTGATTCACTAGCATATAGGTTGATTAGAATGGTGGCTTCTAAGGTACACAAAGATACTTGAAAAGTTTGTCTTGGATACCTTCCCTATGTAACAGTTTACTTTATTTTACTTTTTCTGTGAATTTTGGTGCACATGATTTTGTCCAAATGAGCCTAAGTTTAGCATTACTTGGGATGGGGTGAAGTGACTTGAGATTTCAGGGACCCCACTTTCCACTTAATTGCATCAGAGCTATACAGCACTGTGGGTTCCTAATAACAGCTTTTAACTTTTGTTTCTCATATGCTTAGGTGGGACCATCCTCAGTATCTCTGGAGTAGGATTCAGCAGGAACCCCACTTTGGTTTGGGTACTCGTGGGCAATCAGCCTTGTGACATTGTGGACTTAAAGGAGATGAGCATCCGCTGTGAGACCTTGCCGACCCCGCTGTTGTCTGGGGCAGACTCTTTTCCTGTCCCCGTGGAAGTCTGGGCTGGCAACACATCCTTCATCCATAGTCCCGCACTAAGCTCGGTGGGGAAGGGCTTCACTTTCACATATGAATCAGCAGCAACCCCAGTGGTCAGTGCCATGTGGGAAGAAATCACCAACAGCAGCCTGAGGTTTCTTGTGGAAGGAAATAACCTTTCCAACTCAGTCATCCTCCTGGGGAGCTGGAAATGTGACCTCGAGACACAGTCCTTTGTTGGCAGTGTGAGCCTGTCTGGGTGTGCCTTCCCTCTTCACAGTCTGGAGGCAGGCATCTATCCTCTCCAAGTACGTCACAAGCACTTGGGGTTTGCCAATATGTCTGCAGTGCCCCAGCACTTTGCAGTGAAGCCTCTGGTAACCAGCATCTCCCCAACACACAGTTCGGCATGTGGTGGGACAGTACTCACTGTGAGGGGGATGACCTTCAAATCTAGAAGGAAATCTCTTTGTGTTGACCTTTCTGGTCCTTTTACCTGTGTAATACTGAGTTTGAGCGATGACACAGTGATCTGCCAAGTCAATCTGGTGGGTGACCCCTTGGCTGGAGCTTCCTTCACACTCAATGTCACAGTCCTGGTCAATGGACTAGCTAGTGCCTGTCGGGGGGATTGCACTGTCTTCATGAAGGAGGAGACAACTCCTGCCGTGGACACCTTGACTGTAGGCATCAGTGGCTCCCTGGTCACCGTTCTAATGAGGGGTCAGAGGCTGGGCAGCAACACTGATGAGCCAGTGGTGTTTGTGGATAACCACCTTCGTTGTGACCTAACTTTTTTCAATGCAAGCCATGTGGCGTGCCACATTAATGGCTTGACCCCAGGACTCCACTTCCTATCAGCTGTTCAGACAAACAATGGGTTTGCTTGTTGGGGTAATGTTTCCAGGCACTTCTCCATCAAGCCTCAAGTGTTTCATTATTACCCTAAGAATTTCAGCATACATGGCGGCAGCATCTTGGCCATTGAGGGTACAGCCCTGAGAGGGCAGAACACCACCTCAGTCTATGTGGGCCAGCAGGCCTGTTTGACCATCAACATCAGTTCTGAGCTCATCCAGTGCATTGTTCCTGAAGGAAATGGCTCTGTCTCTCTGGAAATAGAGGTGGATAGAATTTTGTACCACATAGGAGTCATCGATTATAGTGATGCCTTCACCCCGGAACTGATCTCTATTTCTCAGAGTGATGACATTTTAACATTTGCAGTGGCGCAGATATCAGGAGCTGCAAATATGGACATTTTTATTGGGATTTCACCCTGTGCGGGTGTCTCTGGTAACCACACGGTTGTGCAGTGCACGGTCCCTTTTTTTCCTGCTGGGGAATACCACGTCAGAGGTTATGATCATTCCAGAGGATGGGCCTCATCTGCTCTCGTGTTCACAGTGAGAGTTACTATTACAGCAGTGACTGAGAATTTTGGTAAGTCCAGCAAAGAAGACAGAGCCCTTCCCTTATATAAGTGGACTAATATCTACTTTCTCTTCTAGGACATAGAAAAATAACATCATTCCATGTGACATTCCATGTGAGGAAAGGGAATCCCAGTTGGTCTCTTATAACCCCAGTTTCTTCTTCAGCGTGTCTTTGTGATGTTCAAGTTACCAACTTTTTCTATTCCATCAAGAGAGTTGAGCATATTCTCTAATTTGACACATTAGCCACCTTTAATTTGTATTTTAAATTAGTTTTGTAAGAGTTCATAACTTGGTCACTTAGGTACATAAATTTTTTCACCTCTTTTTAGATTTATACACCAATTTGCATTATTTAAAATGTACTATAATTATACTGTACAGTTCAACAGATGATTTCATATTCTATCAGTAATGATCCATTGGTATGAAACTGTTGTGCTGGTTGAACTTTTTTCAATTTTTAAATATACAGAAATTTTCCTGGTGTTTTCTTCCAGTGATGGTTTAGGTTTCTGGTCACTTAAAGCCTTATTACCCTTGAAATACCCCAGATTTGATTGCAATTAGAAAATTATGGAGGCAGACTTTTAGACTGGTGTGGTACTTACCAAGCCATTTCTTAGAACACATTAGCCTTGGCTAGATGGACTTCAGTGGGGATTGGGATTGGCTAATCCTCAGCTTCCTTATTTGATACAGGAATTTGGACTGGACGCTCAGTGAATTCCCCTTTACATTTCCTAAGACTTGATAACTGTTAGGATGAAAGAACAGTATAAATTGCACCCTAGGCAGAAAGCATTATTCTTGAGGTTGTGAGGCAGCTGTGTGGGTATCTCCACACCCCTCACGGAGTGAAGACAAAAAAAATTGGAACTGTATCTCCGAGTGAGCTAGTGGTGTGGATTAACATTAGTCATATATATGTACCTAAAATATGTAGTTATCACAGCACCTTTAATAATAGCAAAAGGGGAGAAATAAGGGAAGGCTCAGAAGAAAGATTTAAAAAATAAATTGTGAGGTAATCATTTAATGCGATTCTAAATAGTTGTTAAAGTAAGCTGATTTGGCAAGATATCTGTACTGTTCTTTGAGGTAAAAAATCAAGTTACGGAATAATGTGTATGGAATGATCCCTTTGTATAAAAATATATATATGCCTTGAAAATTCTGAAGGGAGTCACAAGAGACTCCATCTGTGACAAGTCTGCGAAGTGATACAGGTAGTTGGGGGGAACTTGTATTTTCACTTTCATTAAAATTTATCAATAATCATGACTTTTCTATGTGAAATAGTTACGTTGAAAATTGAACCTTTAGCAAAGTAGGTTGTTGAATACGGCTGGGATTTGCTGTATCCCAGAGGCCAGAGCCTAGGTGGGGAGGAAAGCGAGGCTCTCAGGGACCTGAAGCCAGTGATGTGGATTCTGCAGGGCATAAGGAGGAGGTGCAGCAAGAAAGCAAAGCAAGTTTGAGTTTTGACTTGAGAAGGATTTGACTCTAAGAACATGACCTGTCATTCTGTCTTTAAAGGCTGTCTGGGTGGAAGGCTGGTGCATGTTTTTGGAGCAGGGTTTTCTCCAGGGACTGTCTCAGCAACTGTGTGTGGTACTCCCTGCCAAGTCTTGGCGAATGCTACAGTTTCTGCTTTCAGCTGCTTGGTTCTGCCCTTGGATGGTGAGTAAAAATGTCTCATATATTTTTTAAAGCCTATAAATATATATTTGGCTCATTCTTTTTGTGCCCTTAGTGCCATACTGACCATTAACTTTTCAATACGTTCCTTGGAATAGAATTTCTCCATTCTTCATAAAAAATGGGAGACTCTGGGGCCATCTATTAAAATGCATCATTATATCTTTTGTTATGGTCATAGGTCAGTATTACATGAACACTGAAAAATTTATTACTTATGCTCTTGACTGGCTTCATATGTTGATGGAAAAAGTAATTCTGGTTTTTCAGTATTAGTTCAATGACAGCCATAGGCATCAAGGAGGAAACAAACTCTTGGTCTTGTTCTGAGGTAAGATTGCTGAAGACATCTGTTGTCTTGAGATACCAGTAGAGAGAGGCAGAGATTATCAATCTAGGCATCTTGAATTTTTATGGGCAAAAGAGCCAAGGTGACTTTATTCTTTTGTTCTGCAGTGTCCAGGTAATTACCTGATCCCTTACTCAATTAAAAAAATCATGAAAACTACCATGATAAAAATAGCATGGTACTGGCAAAAACAAAAACCAGAAAAACAAAAACAAAAACAAAAACAAAAAACAAAACAAATGAAAATAACCAAAAAAGCCAGACTTGAAGATCAATGGAACAGATTAGAAAAATGCAGAAACAACTCCAAGCACACTCAGCCATTTTATGTTTGACAGAGGGGCCAAACACCGTCACTGGAAGAAAGCCTCTGAATAAGGGTTACTGGGAAAAGTGGCTTCTCACATGCCAAAGATTAAACCTAGATCCATATCTTTCACTGAATACTAGCCTAAAATCAAAATGGATCAGATATCTAAATATTAATCTGGTATAAGATAAAATAGGTGAAAGTCTTGAAGGCATAGATATAAGCAGACTTTAAGAACAAAACCCTGAGCACAAAGGAAATACTGTAAAGAATCAATAACTGGGATCTTATCATATTAAAAATGCAAAAGAAAACAGCAACAGAGTGAAAAGACAAATCACAGAATGGGAAAACTAGCTATCCCTCAGATAAAGGACTATGCCTAACATATAAAGAACTAAAACAAACAGACAAACAACCCAACAAATCAGACCCTCCACATTTAAGGACCTAATCCAAAAGTTGTCACCTGAAATCGACACTTTTTAGATGAAGAAGTATAAACAGGAAATAAATATATGAAAAAATGTGTAACATTACTGGTCATTCACGAGATGCAAATTAAAACAGCACTGAAAATCCATCTCACTCTAAAAGGAATGGCTATCACCAACTGATAACAAATGCCAGAGAGGCTGTGGGTAAAAAAGAAGCTTTCTCCACTGTTGGTGGGAGTGCAGATTGGTGCAACCAATATGGAGAGTCCTCAAAAAAAAAAAAAAAAAAAAAAAAAAAAGGTTCCTCTTAACCCAACTATTCTCCTTCTTTGTATCTTCCTGAAAGAATTAAAAGCATTGAAACACAGTGATACATGAATGCTCATGTGTATCAGCACAATTTGAAATAGTGAAATTTTAGAAACAGCCCAAATGTCTATCAACTGATGAATGGATAAAGAAAACTTTATACCACTCTGACATAAAGAAGGATGAGCTTGAGATATTTCTAGGTAAATAGATGCACCTTGAAACCGTACTTTTAAGTGAAATACATCAGACATGCATGTGTAAATATCACATTGTTTCTCTTGTGTGAAAAAACAAAGTGCAAATAAGGACCAAAAAGGATGATAGATAGTTGGAAGTAAGAAGAAAATGTTCAAATTGGAAGGGGAACAAGGAAGGTGGGAAGGGAAATAGAAGGAAGGGAAAAGAAAAGAAACAAAACAAAACCCAATGAGGATAGAAGGAAAAAATGGCAACAAAGTTTTTTAAAATAAGGAGAGGAATAAGGGTTGAAGGGAAGGGCAGTGAATGGGAAAAGAAAAGAAGACTCAAAATACATTATGTAAATTATAAATTCTCTACAATGAATGCGATTATTATGCATATCAAAAGTGTACCCCAAATTAATTAAAAATAAAACATTCACATAAAAACATTATAACGGCTCACTACTTTAAGGTGCAAAGTTATTATGCAAATTGAGGCATAGAAAGCCTGGTGTTTACGGGTGGAGAGATTACAGGGGAAGGTGCAAATCACCTGTGGTTTCACACGGTAATTACTCAATTGAGCTGTAGGGGGAAACAAATCAAAGGGAAGAAATTACTGCAGGGCCTGTCGTACTTGAGAGGCCTCAAATTTATCCAGGTTTTTATCTTAGTTGCATAACCCCAGTTCTCATACCTTTTGCTCTTAAAACCATTTTCACATATGCTTTTAGAGTAGTGTTTTGAGCTCCGTTCCTAATTCTTGGTCTGCAACTTGAAGTTCAGATAGGTATATACAAATTGATGAAAAAGTCCCTTCATCTGAGCTTGGAAAAAATTCTGTGATGGCTAATACTATTGTGATGGCAGTTTATACTGCATTGTCATAGATGAGGAAAAAGGGGTGGGGAAGAGAAGCTATTTTGTACTAGAGGGACAACATAAAAATCAATGAGATCTCAAGGCCAGGTAAATTGTGATACATTGGAAGTTGTTAACTCCCAGGGGAAGAAGAACGAAATCGTTGTATTTAAAAGGGTTTGAGTTCTAGAAGAAGGATCTCAAAATTTCTTGATTTTTCAGCTGGAGGTGTAACTCTTAGAATTACCACTAGGTGTCATGAGACACTCATCAATTGTGAAAAAAAAATCACATTTAGAGAACCGGATCATTTGACCACTGTATTTTCCTCTTTCACAAACAAGTCTTCAAAAGACCTTAATCACATTGTCTCAAGGTGGAGAGGAACTTGTGACAACCACCTCCAGATAATTTCTTGCTGAGGATCCAGATGAGATTTGGAGATTCTGTCTGCCTTCCGAAACTGGATAAAATATTTTGAGTATGTGATTGATGGTTTCTCCCTCTTCTTTTTCATTCTTCTACTTCTTTTTTGAATGACATCTATAATTTTATGGACATTGAACGGTCAAAGGGGCTTTGTCTTATAAATTACTGGAAACTACTAACAAGTCTCTTTTCCAGATAGGACTGCATATAATCAGCTTCATTACAGTTATGACCCGAGGCTGGACAGAGGTCCTTGGAAGGCTGGGCCGCCTCAGTCAGTGAAGGCGGAAGCTCTCAAATTGTGCTCCTTGGAGCAGCCACCATGGCATTGTCAGAAAAGTGTTCTTGGGACTCACTGAGAAAGCAACTTTCCAAAGAAGCGTTTGTATCCTTCTTTTCTGCTCCCTCTCTGAAACCCTACATTCTTGCCTACTTTGAAGCCTCAGAGTAGGTGGTTCTTCTGGGTAATCAATTTCGAGCCATAGTGGGCAGTGTCATAGCCTGTGTGTATGGCCTGGCCCCACGTTTGTTTTAAAAATTACACTATGGGGCTGGGGATTTAGCTCAGTGGCACCATATGTGCTGGCTCCACAAATGCAAGGTCCTGAGTTCGATCCCCAGTACCAAAAATTAAAATCTTATTAAAAATCACACTATTGTCTTGCTGGTTTATAGTCTTGCAGTTACCTACTGCAATTCCAGTCTCTCTGTGTATTTCTAACATGGCTGTGCACAGTGGGACTGTTCTCATATTTATGTAATTTGTTTGTTTTTCTTCTGTGGTTTACTGCCTTGCTTTTTTTCATCTGGTCTTTTGTTTATCTCTGTAAATTTCTTTAATTTACCAAGGTCACTTTGAATTCTGACCCTTGCTTTGAATTTTATTCTTCAGTTTGACTTTGCATCATAGATGATGTTTCACATTTCAAGTTATAGATGGTGTCTTTGAACCCGAACTTTTCCATTTTTGATTTTTCCTATGTGACAGCTCTGGTGTGTTTCCTTTTCATGAATGGGGCAGGAGGAGTTAACTACAGATGGAGTGCAAAAAAGTTCTTTTGCTACTTTTGGGGCTACTGATCTTTACCTTCCCCTAAAATTGTATTTCTTACTGAAGAAGAATTTTACTTTTTCATATGATGAGTTGCTAAAACATCCTGTTACATGAAACTAATACTTTGCATTTGTTTAAAACAAGCAAGATCTTTGATCTTTGGGTTTCTTGCATTTATACCTTGAATTATACCAAATGGCTTTTTCACGGAAACTTTAGCTTTTCCGCAAGGCATGAAAAGCTAAAGCGATTAAGGTCACAGAGCTATTTAGTGGCAGAACTTTGAGTAAAACCCATGGATTTTGATCCTCAGTCCTGGGTGCTTTTCATAATCCACCTTGTCAATATGCATCCACTTAATCACCTATAATGAATTCATTATTTTATAGGTGTTGAGCCTGTTTTTATTTGCCTTGGGGCCTGCTAACTGACAAGTTCCCAGGTTTTGTTTATCCACAGGAGAATCCTGCTGTCACTCATTTTTCTTGTTACTGTCCATTCAAAACACAGTCACAGAGATCTTTCTAGGTGCCAGGTGCTTTGGAAAGGAGCAGCAATGGAAAGGAAAGGAGAGTTGGGTGTGGCTGCAGAACTACTGACTCTCCCGCATGCTTACCTCCTACGCCCTCAGCTGGCAGCACAGGGACGAGGTGGGCAAACTTGAGCTGAAGGCCACAGTCAGCAACAGTCGTTGAGTGCCCATGTGGACAGGCTAGCTGCAGAGGGAGCAGGATGGACAGTTTTGTTTTTCAGACAGAGTTGCTCCTAAACCATCTCATGTAGAAATTTATTCATCTTCCAGTTAAGGACTGTTGTCATTTTGCCTTAGTGATGCTTTTGACAGGTGTCCCATGACCCAGAGTAAAATAACTTGAGGTTTAAAAAGCTTTGAGTACTTGCTTTTCCTTTTTATGCTAGTGGTCATGATTACATGACAATTTAAGAACTTCTATGAGTCAGTATCTCTTGAACAGTAAAAAGCCTAGTCACAAATTTGAAAAAGGTAACAGCAGCCAGTCAGGATAGTGGCACACATCTGTAATAGCAGCATGTGGGAAGCTGAGGTAGGAGAACTGCCCCGAGATGGAGGTCAGTCTGGGCTACATAATGAGTTCAAGGCCAGGCTACAGTACACAATGAGACCCTACAGAGAAAGAGAGAGAGAGAGAGAGAGAGAGAGAGGAGGAAGAGGAGGAAGAGAAAGAAGAAAAGGTAACTGTAGTTATATAACATCCAGAGAATTAATGCCCAAATATACAAACCAATAAGAAAAGATAAACAGCTCAATAAAAATTAGCCTGATGACATAATACAAATTTTGAGGGAAAAAGACATGATTTATTACTACACATAAAATATTTCTCAACCTAAAAATTAATGGTGAAAATGGAAATTAAGGCCATGGTGAGATATGATTTTATGCACACTTGGATGAGTGAAAAATTAAAGGTCAGTAATTTCAAGTGTGATAATTGTGTGGAATATTGGCAACTGATAAACATAGCTGTAGGTATATAAAATGGCACACTCACTTTGGCACTATCTTGTAAAGTTGAACTTGTTCCTACCATTTGAAAGCAAGCTGTTTTCTTTTCATTTTTTGTTAGTACATGTTTGCATAATGATTATGATTATGCACATAGTACATAATGATTATATTCCTCGTGGGGAGGGGGCTGCTTCCAAGATTCACTGTGGTGAGTTGTGCTGCTATAAACTTGGGTATGCATGTATCACTGTAATGTGATGTTTTTGTCTCTTTCAAAAGGATACAAGGGGAATATCTAGGTAGAAGAGAATTTCTAGTTTTTTGAGGAAACTCCATACTGATTTCCACAATGGCTATAGTAGTTTACATTCTTACCAAAAATGTAGAAGGGTTCCTTTCCCACCACAGTCTCCCCAGCGCTTATTATTGTTTGATTTCTTCATTATAGCTATTCTTTCTGGAGGAAGATGGAATCTCACTGTTGTTTGAATTTGCATTTCTTTGATGGCCAGAAATACTAAATATTTTTTCATGAATTTATACTTCTTCTGAAAAATGCTCATTAGAATTGCTCATTCTTTGATTGGGTCTTTTATTTTGTGGGGGCTTAATTATTTTGTGTTCTTTATATATTACAAGTATTAGTCCTCTGTCTGAGGAATAGTTGGCAACCCCCCCCCATTCTATAGGTATTCTCTTCACTCGGTTGGTTGTTTCTTTTGTTGTGCAGAAGCTCTTTAACTAGATATAATCCCACTTGTTGGTTCTTGATGTTATTTCTTATACAACTGGGGTTCTGTTCAGAAAATCCTTGCTTACACCTATGTGTTTAAGAGATGAAAGCAAGCTATTTCCTTTATAGGCTATTTTAACTCTAGAAAAATTTGTATGCTTTTATGGTAGCAAATATTTCAAAATACTCAAAATACTGAATACTCTATTGGTAAAAACATTGTAATACTTTCATGCAATGCAGTATTGAACAGCAGTGAGTATGTACTGGCCATATAGTCACAAGCAGCAATAGGGTCAATCTTAGAAATATGATAGTGAATGAGAAAAGCAGATCCATGAGTTGTCATATATCATATTTTGTAAAAGTAAAAAACATAACTGAATAAATTCTTGTTTAGTGATACAAACCTGTTTGCTAAAACTATTTTTAAAATGCCAAGTGGTTATTTCTGAAGAGGAGGAAGAGAATGAACCTAGGGAGGAGCAAGCAGATCGAAGTGTTGTAAAGTATAAACTTGTGTCATTGATAGGAAAATAGATGTACTCTGAGACCATAATTTTAAGTGGAATAAAAAAACACACAAGCTTCAGTATTTATGGTTTCTCTTATATGAAAAACAAACTATAAATAAAAAGCAGTGTAAAAGATAGATGATAGGAAACAGGGAGATGGATCTTCTGCAAATAGATAGGGGACCGAGAGATAGAACAGGGAAGGAGAGAAAGGGAGGGGGATGAGAACAGAATGGAGATGTGATGTACATGAACCAAGTCCCCACGAGGATTCTAATCGTTAGGTATTACAAAAATGTATTAATGAAAAATAAAATTAAAATGATGTATTATATCTATTTTCAATCTCATGTTGGCTGGTATATTTACACTTCATTCATGAAACAGCATGAGGCCTTCAGTTCTTTCTGTGGACTTACTTGACCTAATGGTAACTATTTCCCACAGTGTCCTTGGCTTTCCTCTGTGGCCTGAAACCAGAAGAGGACAGCTGTGAAGCCATCGTCCGCACCTATGTGCAGTGTGATTTGACTGTCACGGTGGGGACACAGAGACTGGCTGAGTCCTGGCCTTACCTTTACATTTGTGAAGAGAGTTCCCCATGTGTCCTTACATCAGATCAGTGGACAGAGTCAGCCTTTCCATCCTTCTCAGGCCTCTTCATCAGGTAACTCTGTCTTCTGTCCCCACCAAGACCAAACAGCTTGGGTGGATGGGGCTCAGGAAGTGGTGGCTGTGACTGTTTTGAAGGGGCCTTCAGCCATGGATTCCAGTTTGCCTGCATATCAAAGCATCTCCTGTCTTTTTCAAGTGTTCAAGAGAACATCTGAAAAATCTGCCCAGAAAACAGCTCACTTTGTTCTTGCTTAGATTTTAATATTTATCTTCTGATCCAAAGCAACATCTGGTGAATGCCAATGGGGATAAAGATTAGACATTATGAAAAACAGAAGGCTTTTTTCCTTTTCTTTCCAAACAGATTCACAAGTATGAAAAAAAATCATAGAGAAATCCAGCAGATTGCACAATGTTTATTCAAAGAGTGGGGAGCATTGCACAGCTGAATTACTGTAATCTAGGATTTAGAAGCCATAGCTCACAAGGATTTTTTGAAGTTAAAAAATTTAAAAAATAAATACCACAACCTTCCACACTATACCACTTCTCTAAATGAAATTTTAAAAAAGTGTGATCATGTTGTTGGCACTGGATGGCCTTAACTGCATCCAGCAATTCTGTTCCTGTGCAGGTGGTATTGCAAGACTGAACATTACTCTTTATTTGTTATCTAAATAGAGTGATTGTGTAATGAAGATCTAGTTTCCTTTTAAAATATAAAAACACACAGGACCAATTCTGAGGAAAGAGAGACAACCAGTTCTTTCTATGGCCATATGATTTCTTAGTGTCCTGAGATACTTTGTTATCAAAGGACCTTGACACTGGAATTTAGTGTTTAGCTAGAGGAAAAGACAATCCTCCTTGACAAGTTGCTGCCTAGGAGAGTGTGAAGAACTTGGCTTATGGGCCATGAGGGTTGTACTAAGGCGAGACTGGATTTCAGAACTCACTAATGCTGGATGTGGAGATGTCAGCAGTTCCTGCTCCACTGAATCCAAACTTTATCTGAATCCCCAGAGCCGTGCCCTTGGATTCTCCATGCTCTTCTGCATTGCTCTAGGAAGTGGCTGAGGCAATTGAACCTCAGACCCCCTTAAAAGTTGGAAATATATATGTATGTGTGTGTGTATCTATATCTATATCTATATATATCTATATTTATATCTATATCTATATCTATATTTTTTTTCCAGTATCAGGGATCAAACTCAGGGCTTTGTGCTTGCGAAGCAGGCGTGGTGCCACTGAGCTAAATCCCTTGCCTTATCAATGTCATTTGAAAAGGCCTGCTCAGTGTTTTGGCTATTGCAACAGGCAAAAGTAAGTGTGTTTACCTGAGTAAAAATTAAGTGCCCTATGATTTGAACAAAGTTTATACTTAGTGTTGATAAGCGTAGGGATAACCCACACAGTGCTTTGTGGTTGGTTGGAAGGCGAGTTAGTGTGATCTTTAGAGGATGATTTGGCAAAACACTGATTAAAAACCTTAGAATTCTCCATATTCTGTGACTCAGCAATTTCACTTCTGTGATTTTAGTAACGCAGATAGGAATGTGTGGTATTTACAAACTGCCATGATCTTGAAGTCTTAGGTACACAAAATATTTAAAATAAGTTTAAAATGATATGATACTAAGAAACCTTTAAAAATAATATTTGACCCAATAGGAAATGAAAATCAAAGTTCCCAAATTAATATATTAATATATATTCATATATTAGTTTAATCCCACTGTTAAACTTTGTATATGCATTTTTGCACACATGGAGGATTAGAAAAGAGTGGAAGGATGTATTCTAAATTGCTGAGAGTGCCCACTTCTAGGTAGCTGAAGTAATGATTGTATTTATTTTCTTTATTGAGTTTTTATTTCTCTAGTGAGTACATGCTGATTTAGTAAATAGAAAACACACTACACATTATACAAGGGTCATGTGCCAAGTAGCTTGCTTGGTTTCTCTTATGATTATTCCTGTGAACCTAGAGGACTAGGTTCTTCTTAGGGGGCCCACTTCCATCCAAAGCTGTATTACCCCACCAGCTCTAGCACCTTGGCTTTGTGTTATTTGGCAAAGGCAAACATGCATCTATGGCATAGGTGCACCCAGTCCCTGATCCACCTGTCCTGCTGTCATCCACCCATCTTTTGTTAGGTACACACTATGCTGTAGATGTTGTGCCAGGTGCTGGTGACTCAACAGTGATGAGATAGAAAAGTTCTGCCTTCAGGGGCAGAGGAGAAAGTCAATAAATAGGATAATATCATGTCATAATAAGTGCTCTAAAATGATAGAAAATAATGGGGTTACTTTAGGTGGCAAGCTCTGAGTAGCCTCCTGAAGAAGTGTTTCTTATCAGGTGTGTTCAAAAATTATGGTGAATGTTTAAAATTAAATAAAATTCTGATGGTAAAGGGTACATTGCCATTAATGCCACTGAAAATACCCATACCCTCACTTCAAGCACATATATCCTGTTCTTGCTACTTTCTGAAGCAGTTCTGGAAGTTCTCCTTTCAGAAATGTATTTAGTCGTGATATCATGGCTACCTTGATGTCCTAAACCAATTCAAACTGTTTACCTTTCTTGGGCATTTTGACCTTGGGGAGGAGCCAAAGGCTGTTAAGCAGCTCAGTGCCTGTGTATATGAGTTTGTGGTTAAGGTAGATGAGGACATATGGTAATGCTTATAATTGACAGAAATTATCAAAATGGTTTATCAGTGGAAGTGATCACAAAATATGGTGAAAGTTTAAACAAAAACTTTTTTTTACAGTAAAAGGCACATTGTTATTAAACACTCTCAAATTCTCCCCTTGTTTCAAACACACTTACCCATCATTCTTGGCAGTGTGTCTTTTTCTGTCATAGGTTTTTTAAAAAAAGTAAACATTCATTATATTTTTGATCATCTTTGCATTTTTTTTTTGTTGTTGTTTGTTTGTTTTTTTGGTACCGGGGATCAAACTCTGGTCCTTCTACTTGCGAGGCAGGTGGGGGAACCACCGAGCTAAATTCCCGGCCCTCATCCTTGCATTTTAAGGTAAGAAGAGAAGAAGGTGGCCAGGCATTAGGGGAGAATGTGAGAAGAGGGAGAAGGAAGGACAGTAGCTGTTTTAGTGAATAGAAAACACACTATGTATCATACAACGGTCGTGTGCCAAGTGAGGGAAGAAAATGGTCTTGGGGAGGTGTGCAAGATCTTGAGGGGTAAAGGGTTTGGATTCTCTTCTATGTAAAGATGTAGTCACTTTCCAAGGTAGAGCTGGGACTGGAAGCAGGCTTCTGACTCAATGTGCCCTTAGCATCTGTGGTGAGAGTTTTCACTGAGCTGTAGTCAGCGAGATCAGGGCCTTGGAAAGCAAGTGGGGGAGGTAGAATGCCCGCATGTGTTTTTACTACCTATCTCCAAGAGCACACACAAGAAAACTACCTGCCTCTTTCAGGATCTGATGAGTCCGTTCGGAAGAGCCATAGATTGGGAGGCAGGAATCGTAGGTTCTAGAACTATCTTGGCCACCATTTGAATCAAAACATTTTTACCAAATTTTCTTAAATATTTAGGTGCATACATATGTGTATGGGTATGTGTGTGCATCTATCTACATCATATCTATATTGTACATATATTGCTATCTATATTTTTATTTAAATCTGGTCAATTATATTCCTTAATTTATAAAATTATTGTGGAGTAAAAGTAATTATTGAGAAACTTTGAAATTTTATAAATGTCAGTCACTTTGTGATATCCTGATGTGTCAGCTAATTTTGTTGATGGGTTAAAGAAAAAGTCTCTAGAACAATAATCAGGGACAAGGAAAAGCTAAGAGAAAGGGTTCAACGCTGTCCGGAGAGGGAAGGACATGACTGGGATGACAGTGTATCCCTAACAGGCAAACATGCAGAGGCTCACTTCTCTCTCGCCTTTGCCATTGGAGCCCAGGGACAGAGAAAATGAATTAACTATGAAGAGAAAAGGGAAAATTTTGGAAATTCAGGCAACTAAGCTTGATATTATCCTTGACAACATTCTAGGAAGAATTATTAATCAAGGTGGTTTGTGGTTTTTGGGAACCAATTCACAGAGAGGGTGATGGTGTGGTAAACCAATTTTGGGTTTTTTTATATGTTCATAAGTGATTTATGATGTGAATATAAAGGGAGACTGCCTCAATATTCTAACAACTCCACCCCCAGTAACAACAAAAAAGTTCTAGATGCAAAGCCCAAAGTAGCCTAACACAAGCCTCAAATTACTTAGGAGTCAGATGTTTTAAAAGTCTGTTTTGATTTTTCATACTATTTCATTATATTTTAATATTTGCATTTTAATTTTAGAAGCTGTATCATTTGTTTTTCCTTTCTGAATCTTGTATGACTGACATTGTACGAATGAATGTAGTTTTTATCTGGAGGTTTGGTCTACAGCAGGGATGATGGCTTAGCTACACGGATTTATAGCTAGAACATAGGGTCTTGATTTAAAGTGTATTTGAGCAAAGGTTTTACATCAGTGAGATGAAATATAGCAGTAATAAATGTTAATTCCCATATTTACATTTCAGCAAAAATACCACACCACTACAATCACCACTAAAAACTGTAGTAAAAGTTGGCTTTACCAGGTGCTTATTGTGTACCAGGTTTGGTGATAATCTTCTCATCCGTTTTTTTCCCACTACTGGGGATTGAGCCCAGGGCTTTCACACTAAGTTACATCCCCAGCCCTTTCTTATTTTGAGCTAGGGTCTCACTAAGTTTCTAAGTTGCTCAGCTGGGCTCTAATTCTCTCTCCTCCTGCTTCAACCTCCCAAAATGCTAGGGACACAGATGTGTGCCACCACACCCAGCTGCTAATACTTTTCTTATTCTTCATTTTCCTTTGCTGAGTATCTCCACAAAATAAATATGCCATTATTGGTGACTTCAGTTTACAGATGTGGAAACCAAAGGGTAACATTTTCAGTATCATGTAGATGGTAAGGACTGGTGCTAGGATTCAAATGAAACTGATCTGCTTCCAAACCTATCCTTTGCATGCTAGTGCTTTTCACCAAATCAGCTGAGAAAATACAGCATGTGAGATCTTCCAGCAATTGCGACTCTGAGGGATACAAAATGAGCATGATCGGAGCAGCGGGTTGGAGGGCTCATGCAAAGGGAGACCAGAGTCCCACTGGTCAGCCTGAATTTTGCTCGGTTTTGAGTGGCCTGATGTTAAAATACTGGTGCCTCTCAACAGGCTGAGAGGACAGTGGGTATGGAAGTCATGTCTTAGGTAGATACAGAGCTGAGAATATTTGCACATGAAGATGAGAAGATTGTGTGGTGAGATGTGAGTTAACCTGCTCATTATTTCCGGCATATTGTAGGAAAAACCATTGCAACTTTGGTTTGAAAAAGAGGTGCCATGGTTTGAAATAATTTATAGTTTCTCAATTGACGACCTTCACCCTTTCTTCCACCTTTCCTGGTCTACCCATAGATCTACCATCTTCATCCCTGATGTTCAGTTAGGAACCAATATTTGAAAACTAGAGAGCACTGCTCTCAGAAGCAGGATGCCTGGCTTCTTGTCTTCGTGCTGCATAATATTGTATTTGACTGTATGCAAATCCCCTGATCTGTTTGGGTTACATATTATATACCTTTATCTAATTAACAAGTTGACATGAGATCTATAGGATACTGATGGGAAGTAGAAAACATCAAACATTATTATTACTAATAATATTTTAGCTAGTTGCAACACTGCCTAGAGCCAAGATTATTTTTGAATAATATCACACCTGTTGGGGATGATTCCCTTCAATATTCGTGCTCTTACCTCCTCTGGCCTGCATGTTTTAGACTTTCTGTGATGCTACATTGTTGTTTTTCATTTTAAATCCAGTCTGGCTTCTCTCCTTAAAGCAAAGGGACTTTTAAAGTGAGTGGCTGGTAGTATAACTGGCACATATATCGAATCTCTTTAGTCTGGGCTGTTAAGTAAGTTTAATTAATTTACTAAGTTAATGTTCCACTGCTAGCAACAGAGCCTCATTGCTATCAGCTGGGGAGAGGGAATTGAAAGCCTAAATGAGCTCATTTTTTCACAGTTGGAATTAGGGACCAGTTAGCCAGTTGTATGGGTTTTCCAATTTCTCCATCTGCCCTGGGGGGATTCAGGCAATTCACTCCCCCAACCCTAAGTGTGAGTAAGATCAGGAAGAGAGAAGGGGGAAAGAAAAAGATCAAAATCAAAACTCTGTCCAACATCAGCTTCCATTTTTGGGACTGGAAGTCTTGTCTGTTCATTGCTTGTTAAGTTGAGTTTGTGGAACCTTTTGCTAATGTTCCTAATGGATTTGGAAAATAAGAAAGGCCTCAGTGAAAGATATTTACTGTGTGCATTTTCATTGCAGGGTGAACAGATAAAGGAAAAACAAATAAACAATAAAAGAATGGAAACAAAATTACAGAAATTTGCAAAATTTGACAAATGGTGGTCTGTAGTTGCCACAAGCTAATGGCTTGCAATGATTAATAAGAGTAAAAATAATTGCATTTCATTAAGATTGATGACACCCCATTTAACCTCCCCTCTCGTTTCAGCCCTAAAGTGGAAAGAGATGAAGTTCTCATCTATAATAGCTCCTGTGCCATTACCATGGAAACTGAGGCAGAGATGGAGTGTGAGCCGCCTAATCAGCCAATTACCACCAAGATTACTGAGATACGGAAAAGCTGGGGCCAGAACACTCAGGTATAATCAAATCTTTTTTACAGACTGATTCAAACGGCTCAAATTAAATTTGTAATATTGTGTACATTAAAAAAACAATTTAGTCCAAATGGCAGCGATATATAATATTAAATGCTCTCAAACTTTGAGGAGCTGGCCTAATGCACAACATCTGAATTTGTAGTTAACTATGGTTAATCATATATTTTCTCAAAAATAAATGAATGCTGCCTGGGCTCTTTTAAAACAAATTCTGAACAGATAATCTCCTCAGCATTTTGTCCTGATTTCTGGATGCACATTTGCAAGGGTATCTCTGTTTTTTTTTTTCTTCATAAAATAAATGGCCCACGATTTCACCAGGCCTTTTTGGAAGACTTCCAAATCACTGAGCCATCCTCAGCGTGGTAGGACGGCAGTGTTGCTTGTCTGTCCCATTCTTCTGTTTGGTGGGGGAGCAGAGTGGTAACACCAGAAATGACATCTGGGAAGGACAGCGCAGCCTTGTTGTCCAGCCTCTTTACCTCAGTTTATCTGTTTTTGAAATCATCCGCACCACTCCAAGTTGCTTTTCTAAGAATGTGTCCTTAAAGTGCCCAATCACAGATTCCACAGCCTCCCCAGTGAATTTGTGAGGACTGAATCAAGGCTAAGAGCTTTTTGGAAATATATCAGATAATCTTTTACAACTCCCCAGGCTTCTCACTGTACACAGACAAAAATAATATTTATTGAGCATCTACTCCCCTAGGTGCCTTTCTCTTTATGAAAGCAATTCTTAGAGTTTGCCCTTTGTCTCTTTTATTTGAAATGAACATTTATTAAGTGCCTATTATGTGCCGTACACTAGTCCAAAGTCTCTTGTGAGTGTTGTATCAGTCGCTCCATCCCAATTCAAAGCCATATACTTCCTGGGTTTGTCATCTGTGTTTTTGTATAACTTTTGCATTGGTGCTATAAATGTATGTAGCTACAGAAAAAATACTTTTCACTTGTCCTTCCTAAGCTGTTTCCTGAGTACCTACTGGCTGGCCCCTGTTCGTTTCTTCTCCTCTTTACTTTCCTCCTAGGTGATTGCTCAGGGCTGTTACTTTCTGCTTCATCGTGCCCCCACCTCCGAATGCCTCTTGCATGCAATTAGATGCTGTGGTTAATTCTGCCCTTCCAGAAACATTTTCCCAAATCCCACACTCCACTTTACTCTAGGCCTCTTTCTCAGCAGTCAGCTTACAGAGACATTTCAAAAGTTCTTTGTAGTGAGGCAGGACTGCTGTGGGACACAGAGAGAGCAATTGTTCAGCTTATCTGGGCCTCAGTTTGTGTCTGGGAGGATAGTAATCTAGTGTTGTTGGGATGCTCATGTGAACAAATGCTGGTAAAAGGAAAGGAGAGGCAGGTTTGCACAGTGGTGAAGTATGTGAGCTTTGGTGCTAAACTGCTTAGGTTTGAATATATCACTTGCTGTTTGGGAGGACTTCAGGTAAATTATTGAGCCCTTCTGTGCCTCAATTTTCTTATCTATAAAATGGGGATAATTTTAGTTGCCACCTGATACAGTTGTGAGGCTTACAACAAACATATGAGCCACTGAAACTGATCTTACACAGTGCTAACCCTTATTGGCTATGATAGTTTACCAGTAATATTGCTAACAAGTGATGTAGAATTATTTCTGAGTCGTGCTTGCTGTTTTAGTGAGATTATTTCACTTAGATTTTATTTACTTTTTCATCAACTCAGAGCTGAGTTTTTTTGGAGGGTAAATGCCTCACTCATTTGTAAATATTTATACAAACCTTAATTATTGAGTTCTAAAGAAAACAATATGGAAAAGGGCTTCTATCATTACATGAGGCCATATCCAGAGTAGATAAGTTTCAAAACAGTATATATCTGAAGTTATTTCATCACAGTTGGAGAGAGTATTGCATACCGTCTTGACCAATTATCTCATTTCAGAGATGAATTAACTAAGGTTCTCCCAGAAAGGGGTGGCCTGGCATATAGCTTGTTATTTGACATCATAACTCAAACAGGCTTAAATCATTGTGAGGGGAAGTAAGTCATTTAATCTTCAGAAAGTAGGTAGCATGCTTGTCAAAACACACTAGGCTAGCACTAGTACTAAGGAAACTCCTGTTCTGAAGATTGAGGAGGAGAGAAGTACCACAGTTGTAGTTTCCAGATGTGATAAGTTGCACTCAAGTGTAATAATGTCTTAGTTTAAAATAGTCTACGGGGAGCAGGACAGTTTATTAAGTAAGCCAGGAGGACATGGGAAACCATATCAGAGATTTGCAGCAAACAGTTAGCATTTAAGACTTGAATTAATCCCTTTAGGGTTCTAAAGAATGAAACAAAGGTCTCTGGGCACAATTCCTGTCATACTGACCAGATAGTATGTTGAAAGTTAGGGAAAACTACAGCTAAGTAGACACACACACACACACACACACACACACACACACACACACACAAACAATACTCTAGATAATTGGGAAATTGTTGGTTCTTCATTCCAATCTCAGGTAGGGTGAATTGGTTTGTTTCAGGAATTGGACATAATGAAGACTACTAATAGAAGGTTTATAATTAAATGACCATGTAATGGATTGATCACCCAATGTAGGATGCTTTTTAGAGCGCGTGATCCACAATTAATAATTCTATTTGGATAATATTTTACTCTCAGGATGTGCATGTACCTTACTTGGGCTTGTCAACCATATGTGATGTGTTACACTGCTCATGTTTGGGTATTTAATTTTCTTACTTTGGCCTGGGAATAACACAGCACCTTTGTGAGGATGTGTGTCTACGTTAGGTTTGTTAGGTTGTGCATTGTCTGAAAGATGGTCTGCTCTGACAAACCAAGCAAGGATGGCTTCAGGTAAGATGACTCAGGATACAAAACCCACTAATTTTCTTATAGCTGCTTAATCAGGTATAGAACCCAGGTTCCACTTTCAAGTTCAAGAATTTCCCATGTGAGAACCTTAGTACACTGATTCCACAGAATGAATTATTTATTTTATTTAGCGATAACAGATTTTTAAAGTCAATTTATAAAAGCTGGGTTTAAAAAATTACGCATACACACATTATGTATATGTAGATACCTTGAAACACCATGATAGATTCAGAGAAGGAAGAAATAGTAGTGTAGAGAATATAGAATTATTTTTCCTTCCAGAGGATATTTAAGAACATTCAGTATATAACCACATGATGCGAATTTCTATGGAGAGTGATGGGATGAAATATCCAAACTTGCTTGTCTGTGGAACTATTTAGTCTCAGCATTTCTTGTGGGTCTAGCACCTGCGCTGGTGCCCTCACTTGGGAAGTATTGCCTGAAATGTGCCTTTTCCCGTGTCACAAGCATGCAAGCTCTGCCCCATCATTTTCAGAAGGTCTATCAGCTGATCTCTATTGAAGTAGGTGGCACTTGCATTGTGCCATGAAGACCAGGTAAAGTTCAGGTGTTTAGGGGATCAGATGAAAGGTATTTCTGGTAGCATAACCAACATTTATGCAGCACTGAGACAAAAATTCCCAGAAATAGTGAGAGGAGCATGGTACCTGTGTAGGATGCCAATGAGTTGCAGGCATACTGAGATTGAAAATTGTGATCTAAGGTTGTGTTTGGTCCCTTAGTTCAGCAGGTGGCAATTAATCCTGAAGGAGCCATTGCATGATCAAAGGTGTGCTTTCATCACAATAGTCTGGTAGTTGGATATGGGATGATTTGATTTGTAAATCCAGGGAGAGCTGGAGCTTATCCTGGTGAGAAGTAACTAGAATAGGGAAATAGCAGAAGGAATGGAAAGACGGGTCACATTTGATAGTCAAGACTTGATGACTGAATAAATACATATAGATATAAGTATACACATACCTTTTTACACGCAAAGATGTTTTATGTTATTTGTATTGTTTCCCTAACTTGTATTTATAATGTATGCACAAATATCCCCCTCATAACAAACTACCTGTTTAACAGCTGTTCAGACTTCCTACTGAGGTATGCTGATCAAGCTTATGCCTCACTGCTGGGATTTATGACCTGCATTCAGACTTAGGACACAAGAATGTGAGTGGAGTGCTGTCTTATGATGTCTTCTATAGTACAGTACTATAATTTTGTCAGTTATACTGTATAGTACAGCACTATAGCTTTGTTCTGTTATACATAACAGTAGTATATGTAAGAGTTTTGAAAATAAAAGGAAAGTCATCAAATTGGAGTTTCTTTTGATCAATTCTTTGTTCTGAATATTGTAATGTACATACTACAAACAGTTCCTTCTTTAGGGACCAAGTCACTGGACAGCCTAGTTGAAGGAACAAACTCAGTCACTAAATGAGGGGTGTCTGTATAGCATTCCATGATTTAGCTACATGAGAAGAGGAACTTTGTTCTTCACTGCTATTTCCCCAAAGCTTACAATTATACTTATTATAATAACAGGATTCAATTAAAATTATTGAATGAATGATTTATAAGTGAATAGGTACAATTGGTCATCTTTCCATTTTAGGAAATGTAAAATTTTCTTTTATTTGATTATTGTACTATGTATAAAACATTGTGACAGACTAAAACAAGAGTAAACATATTAGAAATGGAAAAAAATTCCAAAGAGTTCTGGAAAATATAACAGAATATCACAAAGAAACCAGAAGGTTTGAGGGATTTCTGAAGTACAAGTAATAAGTTTGGTTGGATGGCTAGAGAAGCTACAGTATAATCAACACAAATCAAAGCATGTTTAGAGAAAACTAGAATACAGCTATAGTTTTCAGTAGATCTCTCCAAGAAATTCCACGATTAGGATGGGTCAGACATCTGGAAATTAATGAGAATTGCCATGTTAACATTCCCTTGCCTTTCCTTTCTCCCTTTTCTTTTCTCTGTCCCTCCATATATGCAGTGTTTGGATCTGTGGTTTTCAAGATGAAGTCCAGAAAGTGGCTCATAAAACCAAGGGGGTTCATCTGGGGACAGGAGATGGATTTGG